TGCTGTTCCTGCAACCTTCGGGTGGCATCGTTGTGGCACTGCAGGAGGCCCAGGATGGACATGTCGTCTGAGGAATGGGAGGGGGAGTTGAAATGGTTCGCGACTGGGAGGTGCAGTTGTTTGTTGCGAACCGAGCGTAGGTGTTCTGCAAAGCGGTCCCCGAGTCTCCGCTTGGTTTCCCCGATGTAGAGGAAGCCACACCGGGTACAGCGGATGCAGTATACCACATTGGCAGATGTGCAGGTGAACATCTGCTTGATGTGGAAAGTCTTCTTGGGGCCTGGGATGGGGGTGAGGGAGGAGGTATGGGGGCAGGTGTAGCACTTCCTGCGGTTGCAGGGAAAAGTGCCGGGTGTGGTGGAGCGGACGAGGGAGTCACAGAGAGCGTTGTCCCTCCGGAAAGCAGATAAGGGTGGGGAGGGAAGGATGTCTTTGGTGGGGTTGGATTGCAGATGGCGGAAGTGTCGGAGGATGATGCGTTGGATCCGGAGGTTGGTGGGGTGGTACGTGAGGACGAGGGGGATTCTTTTTTGGTTCTTATTGCGTGGACGGGGTGTGAGGGATGAGGTGCGGGAGATGTGGGAGACACGGTTGAGGGCGTTCTCAACCACCGAGGGGGGGAAGTTACGGTCCTTGAAAAACGAGGACAACTGAGATGTACGGGAGTGGAATGCCTCATCCTGGGAGCAGATGTGGCGGAGGCGAAGGAATTGGGAATAGGGGATAGCATTTTTGCAGGAAGGTGGGTGGGAGGAGGAGGAGTATTCTAGGTAGCTGTGGGAGTCGGTGGGCTTGAAATGAATATCGGTTTCTAGGTGGTTGCCCGCTATGGAGACAGAGGTCCAGGAAGGGGAGAGAGGTGTTAGAGATGGTCCAGGTAAACTTAAGGTTGGGGTGGAAGGTGTTAGTGAAGTGGATGAACTGTTCGAGCTCCTCGTGGGAGCATAAGGCGGCGCCGATACAGTCATCAATGTAACAGAGGAAGAGGTGGGCTTTAGGGCCGGTGTAGGTACGGAAGAGGGATTGTTCCATGTAACGTACAAAGAGGCAGGTGTAGCTTGGGCCCATGCGGGTACCCATGGGTACCCATGGCTACCCCCTTTGTCTGTAGGAAGTGGGAGGAATTGAAAGAGAAGTTGTTGAGTGTGAGGACGAGTTCGGCTAAGTGGATGAGGGTATCAGTGGAGGGGGACTGGTCGGGCCTCAAGGCCATCTGCATGGGGAATGCAGGTGTAGAGGGACTGGACATCCATGGTAAAGATGGGGTGTTGGGGACCGGGGAATTGGAAGTTCTGGAGGAGGTGGAGGGCATGGGTGGTGTCACGGACATAGGTAGGGAGTTCCTGGACCGGGGGGAGAAAATGGAGTCTAGATAGTTGGAGATCAGTTTGGTGGGGCAGGAGCAGGCGGAGACAATGGGTCGACCAGGGCATTCAGGTTTGTGGATTTTGGGAAGGAGATAGAAGCGGGCAGTGCGAGGTTGGAGGCCGTGGATGGGAGGTCACCTGAGGTGATGAGGTTGTGGATGGTTTGGTGCTCAGGGGTGGGGTCATGATCAAGGGGGCGGTAGGAGGAGGTGTCGGAGAGTTGGCGTCTGGCCTCGGCGATGTAGAGGTCAGTGCGCCATACTACAACTGCGCCTCCCTTGTCCGCGGGTTTTATGGTGAGGTTGGGATTGGAGCGGAGGGCTGCACGTTCTGCAGGGGAGAGGTTGGAATGGGTGAGAGGGGTGGAGAGGTTGAGGCGATTGATGTCTCGACGGCAGTTGGAGATGAAGAGGTCGAGGGAGGGTAGGAGGCCTTGGGGTGGTGTCCGGGAGAAGGGGTCAGTAGAGGGAGGGTTAGGTTCACGGTTAAAAAAGTAAGCGTGGAGGCGGAGGCGGCGGAAAAACTGCTCTATGTCCAAGCGACTAGTACTGGGGAATAAGCCTGGCTGGTTGGTCGATGTCTCAGTAAAGGGAGCAGCTGGGGAACAGTGATCACAATTCAGTAAACTTTAAGGTACTGATGGATAAAGATAAGTGTAGTTGTCAGGTGAAGGTGCTAAATTGTGGCAAGATGGTGGTGGGGGGAGAAAGGCTAATTACAAAAATATTAGGCAGGACCTGAAGAATGTAGATTGGAGGCAGATGTTTGAGGGTAAATCAACATCTGGTATGTGGGAGGCTTTCAAGTGTAATTTGCTGGGAACCTGGGACCGGTATGTTCCTGTAAGGATGTAGGATAAGTATGGCAAGTTTAAGGAACCTTGGATAAACGAGAGATATTGTGAGCCCAGTTGAAAAGGAAGCATTTGTCAAAGCTAGGAGACTGGGAACACACAAAGCAAGGGCAGAATGCATATATAAAGAGCAAGAGTGTTGGCCCACTCAAGGACAGGGAAGGGAATTTGTGGAGCCAGAGGAAATGGGTGAGGTATTAATGGAGTACTTTTGCATCAGTATTCACCCTAGAGAAGGGCTTGGTGGATAATAAGTCTGGGGAAGCAAGTGTAGATAGTTTGGGTCATGGTGAGATCAAAAGGGGGGTGGTGGGGTGTCTTCAAAAACATTAAAGGTAGACAAGTCCCCAGGGCCTGATGGGATATACCCCAGAATACTGAGAGTCAAGAGAGGAAATTCCTGGGGCCTTGAGAAATCTTTGTATCCTCACTGGCTACAGGGGAGGTCCATGAGGATTGGAGAATAGCTGATGTTGTTCATTTGTTTAAGAAAGGTGGCAAGAATAATCCAGCTAATTACAGGCCGGTGAGCGGCAGTGGTAGGGAAATTATTGGAGAGGATTCTCTGAGACAGGATTTACTCCCACTTGGAAATAAGTGGACATGTTAGCGGGAGGCAACATGGTTTTGTGAAAGGAGGTAGTGTCTTACTAACTTGTTTGAGCCTTTTGAGGAAGTGACGAAGATGATCGATGGGGGTAGGGCAGTGAATGTTGTCTACATGGACTTCACTGAGGCCTTTGACAAGGTCCCTCTTGAAAGGCTGATACAGAAGGTAAAGTTACACAGGATCAGAACTGAGCTTGCAAGATGGATAAAAAACTGGCTTGGTCATAGAAGACAGAGGGTGGCAGTGTAAGGGTCTGTTTCTGAATGAGGGGCTGTGACTAGTGGCATTCCTCAGGGATCAGTGCTGCGGCCTTTGCTATTTGTAATACATATTTGGATTTGGAGGAAAATGTAACTGGTCTGATTAGTAAGTTTATGGATGACACAAAGGTTGGTGGAATTGTGGATAGCAATGTGGACCATCAGAGGATATAGATCGGTTGGTGACTTGGGCAGAGAGATGGCAAATGGAGTTTAATCTGGAAAAATATACAGTAAATGGCGGGATCTGGGTGTACAGGTACACAGGTGGAGAAGGTAGTCAACAAGGCATACGGCATGCTTGCCTGCGTCGGCCGGGGCATTGAGTTTAAAAAGTGGCAGGTAATGTTGTAGGTTTATAGAACCTTAGTTAGGCTGTATTTGGAATATTGTGTTCAATTCTAGTTACCATACTACCAGAAAGATGTGGTGGCTTTGGAGAGGTTGTTCTCACTGGAATGATGGGCAACCTGATAGAGGTCTACAAAGATTATGAAGGGGATGGGTGCCTGGAACTCTGCCGGGGGAGGCAGTGGAAACTGATACGATAGTGACTTTTAAAAGGATGTCTTGACAAATACATGAAAATAGGAATAGAGGGATACGGTCCCCAGAAGGTAGAGGGTTTTAGTTGTGAGGGGCAGCATGTCTGCAGGCTTGAAGGGCCTGTTCCTGTGCTGTAATTCTCAACTCCAGATAAGTGCTCCTGTCCTGCTTTGCACAATTCCAGGTTGCTGCAGTGCGTTGGGAGTAGTCTTGTGGTCATCATTGATATACGCTAGGGTGACTAGTAGGTCTGCCAACTGAACAGATAAAGAGAAATTTAGTCACTAGAAAGGAGTGGCGATGCGGTGGAAAATAATCAGAACTTTAAGCAATTACAATTAGGAATCATTATTCAAGATTCTTTGCAAACATGTTTGCACGAAATATCTTTCTACATCTACCTTGCTATAATTTGCACCTGTTTAAATATCTCAATGGTCTCGATGCTTTGTTTTTCTGATTATATCGTGTGAAGTGGTTTACCACATTAATGGCACTTGTATAAACACAAGTTCAACTTTGTGAAAAGTTCATTTGAAACTAATCTTTTATTTTGAGATCTAAGAGTTTGTATTAACGTACTAAAAGGGAAAAGAATGTGTTTCCCTGTCTAACTATGGCAGCGTTCTATGGATTGTTCTTAATGGCTTGCTGAATTTATCATCCAGATTGATCAGGAGCTGGCCACTGGTGAATACTTCCTCAGAGAGAAAGACAAGAAGAAGAAGAAATTACATGAAACAAAGGTATGAATTTTGAATATTTGTTACAGATAGAAAAAATAAATCACTTACTAGACTCTGAGGATGTGGGTTCAAGTCCCAAATACTTCTCGAGCAGTATATGAGGTAATGTTGGAAATGTTACTTTTTGGATGAATGGCCAAGGCCACATTTGTTCTTTGGATAGAGATGAAACACCTCACGACATGGGAGAAGTGCATGGTGACTATCCTCTATCAAATACCCTCAATGCTTAGCCATTAGCAATGTCATAAGTAGTTTTCTGTATTCAGATTTGCTGTTGCACTTTCTACAAGTGATTAAACTTCCATTGGATGGCCACTCAGCTCCTGACCTTGTTACAGCCTTGGTTCAAACATAGACAAAAAGAGCTGAATTCCAGAGATGAGGCATCAGGGGGCAAACTCTCTGCTGATGAGTCATACCTGACATATAGGAAGATGGTCATGGTTGTTGGAGGTCAGTCATCTCAGCCCCAGGACATCTCTGCAGGAGTTCCTCAGGGTAGCGTCCTGGGCCCAACCATCTTCAGCTGCTTCATGAATGACCTTCCCTCCATCACAAGGTCAGAACTGGGGATGTTCGTTGATAATTACACAGTGATGAGCACCATTTATGACTCCTCAGTTACTAAACCAGTCTAGGGCTGACAAGTGGCAAGTGATATTGATGCCACACAAATGGCAGGCTATGACTATCACCCATAAGAGACAATCTAACTACCGCCTCTTGACATTCAATGGTGTTACCATCACCCCCACTGTCAGCATCTGGGGGTTATCATCGACCAGAAACTCAGGTGAACTCAACACAAACACTGGCTACAAAAACAGGTCAGAGGCTAGGAATACTACAGCAAATAACTCACCTCCTGACTCCCCAGAGTCTGACCAACATCTACAAGGCACAAGTCAGGAGCGTGATGGAGTACTCCCCACTTGCCCTGCTGGGTGCAGCTCCAACAATAGTCAAAAAGGTTGACACATCCAGGAGAAAGGAGCCTGCTTGATTGGCACCAGGTCCACTCCCTCCACCACCGATGCTCAGTAGCAGCAGTGTGCACCATCTACAAGATGCACTACAGAAATTCACCAAAGATCCTTAGGCAGAACGTTCCAAACCTATGACCACTTCCATCTAGGACAAGGGCAGCTGATATATGGGAACGCCACTCACCACTGCCGCTGGGTCAGAATCCTGCAGTTCCCTCCCTAAGGGCATTACGGGTCAATCCATGGACATGGACTGCAGCGCTTCAAGAAGCTAGTTCCCCACCACCTTCAAGGACAACTATGGACAGGCAATAATTGTTTGCCAGCCAGCAATGCTCACATCCCACAAGAGTTTTTAAAAAATGCTATACAAATGCAAGTCTTTTACAAAATGTGCTGGAAAAGCTTTTACACTGGATGGTTGTTCTTAATTGTTTTGTATAAATTTGTCCAGGTAAAAGAAGCAGAGGCAGCAGCCAGGCAAAAGGAAGAAAGAAATAAAGCTTTTATTCCTCCTAAAGAAAAACCTGCTGTTAAAGTGAAAAAAGGTAACTGGCTTCCATTCTGTTTTATGCAGTCACAGAAATTAATCAAGTTTATACCTCAATGATAATTTATGGTTCTCTGTACAATCATTTGTGCTAAGAACAGCAGGATGGCGTAGCTAAATACATAGTGACATGCCATGGGTAAAACCTAAAGTTCACTGGTTTTCCAAATGATGCGCCAAGCAATATGCCAAGCTTTCAACAAGTTGATGGGTTAGCACCTTATTGTATTCCATCTCAATGTCATGTAGTGCAATAATACTGCAGTAATACTCTGGGCCAGGAGGCCACCATCTGTGTCATGACACAGCTGAACGGGTTGATTACCTACAATGCATTTAAGATTTTCTAGGAAAAACAATTTAGTATATTGGTGTTCATGCATGGTTTAAGTTTTGATGCAGATAGGACCAGAAAGGAAAGCTTGTACAACCAGATTTGTATGTTTTTGCTAAAAAGAAAAATTTCATTTTGTTCTAGCTGCAGAAGCAAAAGTTAACATTGAAGCTCTTAAAGAAAAAGTGAGAGCTGCCAAGAAAAAGAAGCTAGGAGCCCCAGCAGTGGAGGAAATTGCTCAGAAAATAGTTCAAAAGAAGAAGAAATAAATTGACTTTTCCAGTTCTCCTATGCTTTGGACAAACTGTTGGAATAATTAATTCAGACGATGTCACTGTTATTCAGGCAGGGCTTCAACGTTTCATCATTTTAATTGTTACATGCAAGTGGCCAAGAAAAATAAATTGTTCATTCTCTCTGACCGATGCTGAAGGAACAAGCTCATGGTCCCGTTCATGATTTCCTCACCTAATTCAGTAGGACTGTTAGATATTTGTCTGTGCAAGGCTCCTGACAGGGTTTCTGAAATGACAATATAGGTGAAGAAGAATCCATATCAATCCCTGTGTTACAACTGATTTTAACAAATAGTAAAATCTTGAAGGCAAGTGCAATCAATGTGTTACAAGATTGCTTGGATTCTGCCCTTAGAGCTTCATTATTTCCACAGATAAGCAAGATGAAAATATTCTCCATAATTCATCATTGGTGTCAGAAACAAAACGTCTAGCTTGCAAAGCTGTGAAAATTTGGTTTAGGATTGAATGAATGGTGTACACAAATGTTCAGAGATATTTCTATTTTGTACTAGAGGTTTACGTTGTATAATACCATAACTTTGTTTTTATACGTCATTGTTCATTAAATTTGTTTACCTGTGTCTTAATTTTCAAAAATGGCATGCTATTTTAGAATCAAAGTTGGCAGCACAAAGGTCAAAACACAAGTCACCAATCTAATTCCACTTTCCAGCATCTGCTCTGTAGTCTTGCAGTACAATCAGTAAGAAATAGAAAACAAATTTATAATTTCTCCTTTAAATTCATGCCATCAGTTACTGACCTCTAAGGTAAGTAGGCCCTCCTAACCCTGTATATAATTACATTTTCCCCAGAGTTCCATGGAGAGCATTCACCATATATCCAGTTTTTCCAATCCTGGCAACATCCTCAAATTCCTTTTCTAGTACACTTACATCTTTTCTGTAATTAGACAACGAGAACAACTTCATTAATGGGAGTGTTGACACAGCAAATAGCAACACTTTAAATCCAGATTCCTGAAAACAAAGTACACATACGGAGGAGGGGGGGGCCTATAGCCCTGTTTCTCTGCAGCCACAGGACACATCTACAAAGGTGAAGAAAATTCAATAGCCCTGAGCAAAGTCCTTCCAAAACCACGACCCATGCTGTGGGAGTAATATCTGGGATTTCCTTCCCTGGAACAATTCTGCTGGTAACTTCTAGGAAAAAATATGCAATTCAAACAAATACATTATGCAATATTTTATTTTCACGTGAAACATACAATTGAGGGCAATGGATAATAGAAACATCAATTCTGTAATAAATGTTGATTTTGACATTGCATTCAAAGAAGCTTGGCCACTAAACTGGAGACAAAAAACAATACTTCCAAAGGTATTTTGGGTAGTTGTTATGAGGCACACACTGTACCTGTTCCAATGTTTGCCCATAATGTACCTTCACAGAATGCAATGAGCGAACAAGCTAGTTTTACTTTAAGACAGGAATGGAAAGAAAATTCACACAGCCACTAAAATGAGTCTTCATGTTCTTGGAGGCTGATGCAAGAATCTTGAGTTCTTTTCAACACACTTTGGAGCCCAACAAAATCTTGCAAAAAAGGTTACTGCTTTCAAATAAATGTTATCAATGGAAATATACTAAATACATAGATATGCCACAAACATTGCACAAGAAACCCTCAACATTAATGTATATGGCAGAATAATGGCATCATTAACAGTGAAATAAATAAAAAATATAAAGCACATTGAACATCAGGTTTGATGCCGGGTTACAGTTTTCAGATTCAGAAACAAGTGGTTGTGATGTTGTTTTGAAAATCTTGCTTCAGAGACTCCCTGACTGCCAGTAGATTACCCTCAAAATTGAAGTTTTCTTTTCAATGATACCAACGTAATTTGTCTTATGTTTGAAGAGTGTAGAAAAATACATATAGTGTTCAGAGACTTGAGCAAACAGGAAGCTGTAGCTTTCAAAGATTAGTTTTCTTCCTGATGTTTAAATAAGGAGACTATTTAAATTTTAAAGTCATATGGACATAATTTTTGGCTAAAATATATATTTGTGGAACAAAATTACATATTACTATTGATGCATTATGCAATACGGAACAATTACAAAATGCTGCATAGAAAAGGTTCATGTTTCTGTAAAAAGCATTTGCTCAGGATTCCATATTTAAGTTGACTGCATTTCCAATGCAGAAATATTAAGTAATTTATAGCACTGATGTATAGAAATAGGTTAGCAAGAATCTCAGTCCACTCTTGACAGGATGGATGTTGATAATCGATTTTAAACTGATACTGAGCTAGACTTGATATTAAGATTATAGATCATAGAATCCAACAGTGTGGAAGCAGGCCATTCAGCTCATCGAGTTTACACCAAACCGCTGAACAGCATCCAACCCTAGACACTACAGGCAATTTAGCATAGCCAATCCACCTAACCTGCACATCTTTGGACTGTGGGAGGAAACCCACGCAGACTCAGGAGAACGTGCAAACTCCACACAGATAGTTAGTTGCCCGAGGCTGGAATTGAACTCAGATCCCTGGTGCTGAGGCAGCAGTGCTAACCACTGAGCCACTGTGCTGTGTAATTTCCACACAACTCAACCATCCAAGTGGATTGCAAGATACTGATGTATACATGATGAAGGATAATTAAATTGCTTAAGTCAGTTAAACAGTGTCCACACTGATCAGCAACATGATCGCCAGTTACCCTTCTGGTTAAGAAATAGAAATAGTTCTCACAATGTGGTATGTACCATTTAAAATATCCAGACACTTAAAATGAATATGGTTCCACCCCAACAGTCCAATTCTGTTAAGACTTGCTAAATTATAATTGCAGTTCAGATTACAAAACAGGAATTACAGTACTTCAAACCTCACATTTTGAAAAATACTTGATAAATTCTGTGCGGATTCTAGGCCAGTAACCAGCTGGTATGCAATCCTTACATCAACATAAATCACTGCACTTGTCAGTAATCTCAGTATAAGTTGCTTGTTATAAAACATGCCCTTTTACCTGCCATTAAGAAAGACATTACAAGAAGTACAAAATTTGTATTGTGGCAGGACAAGGCAAAATCAATGTAAAATAAGTGATATTAATAAAATGGCAGTATTTTTGGTTATTTAAGGCATTCTGGAAATATTGCTTCATTCTCATAATTAATAAGAGTTTTTTGGCTGCTGAACCCAATTTATTGGGTTTGGAAGTCAGACCAGACTGCAGGAGTGAGTTTGGTAATCAGGCCAGCAGAAACACTAGCACTTTAAGCTCTTCACATATCTTATTAAAAGTTCCCCAATATCTTGATGAAAAAAAATCATACAAGAGTTGGCATTTAATTTTGTACTGAACCACTGTACAATGGAATCTACAAAAATAAATTACTCGCATCTACGGTCTGATTAAACAAGATGAATTTTAAATTCAAAACGTGTGGCATTTACTTTTCTCAAAAAGGACTGCAGTCCAATGGTTCTGACAATGATTGGATTTTTCTGCAAAAGTACAGGTACAAGATCTTTCCAAACAGGAGAAATAATTCAATGTACACTGTTATGTATTTGCATAATGTGACATGGAACCAAGGTATTAGTAGTGCAGGAATTTAAAATTTTGTAGTGTTGGTCCAAAAAACTCCCATAAAAAGCTATGTCCATATTCAAGACGTCGAGTTGTGATTCACAATTACACATTTGAGTCTTCATCCGTCATGCTGGTGCACGGGGAGCCAGCACTCAAATCTTTAAACAGCTCATCCTCTTTTAGCATGTGCTACAAAGAAAAAGAAAAGATACTGAGGCACAAGGTAAGTAGGCAAAAACAAAGTTTAAAAAAATACTTTGAAAATATTGGTACAAAATCTCTTGTTATACATATCACGGGCACATTTCTCATTTTAAGATTATTGCTTTTCAGTGCCACACTTACTGTTAGGTTATTGATTCCCTCAGAGAATGCTCCAATTTGCCTCACTGTTCCTTCAGAATCATCCATCTAAAAATAAGTAGCACACTGTTATCCTCTTGGAAGAGCATTCCTTAATAAAACACCACCACAGACATAGTCAATTATAATCCAATCCACCAGCAGTTCCTCTAGTCCTATTGGCACCTCTTTCCCAGTCATTCTCAAAATGCTTTTGTAACTCATCTTAGACAATGGACATGAAGAGGGCTATGTCTGTAAACTGCCTGGGCCTCTTTCAGCACATAAACAAAGGCTTGGGAAAAATACTAAGGCACCATTAACAGCTGAAAGCACTTGAGCAAAGAGATTCCCAATTCCTCAGGGACTAGCTCTACCAGCAGCCTAGAAGTAGCAGCTTTCCTGACGTACACATCAACAGTTAAATGAAATTTATGCTCTTAGCAAAGTCTGAAAATGATTTCTACTGAAAATCTTCATTCAAAGGATTAATCATTAGTCTGTACAGAGTCACCTTTACCTGCTCTATCCTGTCCAAGTCTTCGTCGTTATATACTCGTAGTTCTATCCCTCGTCCTTGTTTATTTCCTTGTCTGAAGCCAGTTCCTGCAGGAAGCCCCAATTCCATCGGACATACGTATTCTTCTTCATCCTGTTTTCGTTTCCTCAAACTTCCAAAATTACTGAATGCCAGCTTTCTTGGCTGTAGGAGAAGAGTCTACAATTATCACCATCCAGAGTGATGGATAACTACAAACCAATTTATACCCTTTATTTATATAGAATCCACACGAGTAAATAGCATGGTAAAGGCAGCATACGGCATGCTTGCCTTAATTGGTCGGGAATTGAGTACAAGACTTAGGATGTCATGTTGCAGCTTTATAAGACTTTGGTTAGGCCACACTTACAGCATTGCCTTCAATTCTGATCACCACACACAGGAAAGAAGTGGAGGCTTTGGAGAAGGTGCAGAGGTGGTTTACCAGGATGCTGCCTAGATTAGAGAGTATGAGCCGTAGGAGAAACTAGAAAAACTTGGGTTGTTTTCTCGAGAGCAGCGGAGGCTGAAGGCAGACTTGATTGAAGTCTATAAAATTATGAAATGCATAGATACGGTTGACAGAATCTTTTCCCCCCAGAGTTTAAATGTCCAACACGGGGGCATGCATTTAAAGGTGAGGAGGAAGAAGTTCAAAGGAGACGTGAGGGGCAAGTTTTTTTTAAAACACACAGTGGTAGGAGTCCGGAATGTGCTGCCAGAGGTGGTGATGGAGGCAGATACAGTAGAGGCATTTAAAGGGACTTTTAGATAAGCACATGAATATGCAAGGAGTAGAGGGTCATGGACTAAGGATAGGCAGAAGTGATTAATAATATTTGGCATTATGTCCGGTACAACATAGTGGGCCACAGACCCCTTCCTGTGCTGTATTGTTCTATGTTCTAATCCCTACTGTACAGAGAGGCCATTTGGCCCATCAAGTCTGCACTGATCCTCTGAAGAGCATCTGACCCTATCCCCACAGCCCCACATTTACCATAGTCAACCCACCTAGCCTGCACATCCCTGAACATTACGGCGCAATTTAGCATGGCCAAATCACCTAACCTGCAGATCTTTGGACTATGGGAGAACACTGGAAAACTTGGCAGAAACATGCAAACTCCTCAGAGACAGTCGCCTAAGGCTGGAATTGAACCCAGGTCTCTGGTGCTGCAAGGCAGCAGTGTGAACCACTGAGCCATCATGCTGCCCAGGATGGTACAACAGAACTTCACAATATTAAAATAGTATAAATAAATTGACATTTAAACAGAATTCATATCGACATCAATTACAATTGTCAGGTTATAATTAAGTTAGTACAAATAATCCAATTCAATATCCTTTGACCTTCAGAAGACAATTAAATCCTGGGCTGAGGTTTGGGGACCCCTGGAAAATTTCAAAGCTGCTTGATAATTTGTCAGATAAAGGTATTCAGTTATGGATTCAAAGGTGGACTAAATAGAGTTAAGATAGAGATCAGTTATGATCTAACTGAATTGTGAAGCAGAACAGAGCAACTGAAGGGCTGATTGCAGCCTCATAGTCCTACAGCAAGTGTGACTGGGAAAATTAGGGAAATTAAATGGAAATGAGGTGCCTTAATCAGAATGTAAACTTACCTTGTAAAACTGTGGCATGATATAGTGGAAGTACATTCAAACATATTTCTGTAAACTCCACCATACAATAAGATCACTGCTGAAATTTGATTAATCTTTTCCGTTAGCCGTATAATCAGAAATGGGCAGATATATGATTTTTCAGGGAATTAAATACAGGAATGAGTGAGAAAGTGGAGTTAAGTAAAGTCAGCTCTTATAATAAGACTGTAAGGCATAGGAGCAGAAATTAGGCCATTCAGCTCGAGTCTGTTCCGTCATTTATTCATGGCTGATAAGTTTCTCAACCCCATTCTCCCCGTAACCCTTGTTCCCCTTGACAATCAAGAACCTATCTCTGTCTTAAATATACTCAATGAAATTATACTGAATACCAGGATGGACTGAGACAGCCAAATTGTCTAGCCCTTTTCCTATTTGTAATATTCTTGTCCCTTGATTATCTTAAATAAAAAGAAAATCAATCTTAGCTTCAATACACCCAATGATGGCAAATGAGCAATGGCAGATGCTTTGAATTGTGGTTCAATTTAGAGTTACAGAATTTTCTTCCTCTACAGGGAGCATCAGTTGGCAAAACAAAATCAAGAATTCGATTTCCAAGTTCAACAAGAGCAAAAAAAAAAATTAGCGTCAGCTACAATTCAGCTGACAGCACGAATGCCTCTGAGGCTTCAAGATCCGGTCCAACACCAGGTTCAAGCATGAAAATCATGGCTGATACTCCTGGCCAGCACTGAGCATGTGCAACAGAATCCAAGGTTGCTGACATTTGGTTGAGATATTAAACCAAAACCCCATCTACCTACTCAGATAGACGTAAAGGATCCCAAGGGCCAATCTTAAAGAAGGGCAGGAGGCTATTCTCAGTAACCAGACCACAACTGAACCCTCAATCAGCATCACAAAAGACATAGGACTTGGTGACGACCATACTACCTTTGAGTCTGAGAGCATAAAGGCTGCCATATCTTGTCCAGGATAAGACTGAATTAGAATTAGAATCCCTACAGTGTGGAAACAGGCCCTTCGGCCCAACAAGTCCACACTGAACCTCAGAGCATCCCACCCACATCCATCCCCCTATGACCCACCTAATATACACCCTCTACCTCCCTGAACACTACAGGCAATTTAGCATGGCCAATCCGCCTAACCTGCACATCTTTGGACTGTGGGAGGAAACCGGAGCACCCGGAGAAAACCCACGCAGACACGGGGAGAATGTGCAAACTCCACACACACAGTCGCCCGCGGCTGGAATCGAACCCAGGTCCCTGGCGCTGTGAGGCAGCAGTGCTAACCACTGTGCCACCGTGTCGCCGGTGCTAACCACTGTGCCACCGTGTCGCCCGTGACTGCATTTCAAAGTACTTTATTAGCTGCCATGTGCTTGGAGATGGCTAGTGGTCATGAAAAGCACTATACAAAAACACATATAGACAGTCTTTTTTTCTCTACAAATCTAAGCACTGTTTCATTAAATGAATACAAGAAAGCAATCTACCACTTCCCTTCCTCATTGTTTTTCCTTATGATCTCCCATTTCGGATAGCAGCTATTGGCAGACATTTTGCTTAAATAAAATTGATCGTCCCACCCAGTGATTAAATAGGAGGAGCATCCAACAGAAGGCAGCAGAGAGGAGTCAGAGAGGAGCATTCTACGAGAAGTTGGCTCAGTCACCATGACTGAACAGCAGATTGAAGAACCCAGTGTCAAGTGACAGTAAGTGCCAGATTTTACATTAATGTAGTGTTTCAATCCCTCTCTCCTCCTCTAACCAAAAAAAAAAATGGAGAAAGGCTGTTAGAAAATTTGTTGTAGCCAAGGAGGTGCTTGGTCTGATTGCATTTTAATTTAAGCAACCAGTTAACTAAAAATTACCAACAAAATATTTTGAGAGCAGCTGCTGTGTGGTGGAAGTGCTCTGGTTGGTGTAAGTGCAGGCTTAGGTGAGAATGATGAGCAAAGTAAAGGCAAGGTAAGATTCTTTCATTTTTCCTAGTGTAGGGGCGGATATGGCAGTTAGGGCAGTAGTGTGCTTCTCTTGCTAAATGTGGGAGATCAAAGAGCAGTCTAGTGTCCCTGACAACTGTCTCTTCAGGAAGTGTGACCAGCTGTAGCTCCTCACAGGCCGCGTGGCTTGCTTGGAGCGGCAACCGGACACACTGAGGAGCATATAGGAGGCAGACTGTGAGTTAGGCACTAGTTACAGGGAGGTGGACACACCACAGGTTCAGTCAGGTAAATGGGTGACTGTTAGGAGAGGCAGGCAGGTAGTGTAGGAGTCTCCTGTGGCTATTTCCCTCTCCAACAGGTGTACTGTTTTGGATACAGTTTTTTTTTTGAGGGGGTGTGGCTGGGGGGAGCAGCCTCTCGGGAATATAACAGCAGCAGCCAGGCCAGTGGCACTACAACTCTGCTGTAGAGCAGGGTTGGACAAAGTCCAAGTGAGCAATAACAGACTCACTACGTAGGGGCAGAGACTGGCATTTCTGTGACTGTGTTTGAAACTCCAGGATGGTGTGTTGCCTCCCTGGTGCCAGGGTCAAGGACATCTCAGCAGTTCCATGAAATTCTTAAGGGGGAGGGTGAGCAGCCAGAGGTCGTTGCACAGATTGATATCAAAAGACATAGGTAGAAAGACTGATGGGGTCTTATGGAGAGAGTACAGGGAATTAGGAAAGAGGCTGAAAAGCAAGACTTGAAGGGCAGTAACTTCTGGAGTTGGTGCAGGGGCAGGGTTTCAGGTTCTTGGATCATTGACACCTCTTCTGCAGCAGGGGTGACTTGTACAAGAGGGATGAGTTGCACCTAAACTGGAGGGGAACCAATATCCTCACAGGGAAGTTCACTAGTGCTACTTAGGAGAGTTAAAACTAGAGTGGCATGGGGCTGGGAACCAGAGCAGCAGGTCAGCAAATAGAGGGATTGAGGGGAAGGTAGATGTTAGGACCAGTAAATCAGAAAAGGAGGACTGGCAGAGACAGGTAAATGAACACAACGGGGCTGATGGGCTGAAGTATGCTTAATTCAGCACAATGAGTATTATGGGCAAGGCAAATGAGCTTAGAGCCTGGATCAGTATGTGGGACTAGGATGTTGTGGTCATTACAGAAACTTGGTCAAGAGGGAACAGGACTAGCTGCTGACCATTCCAGGGTTTCGTTTTTTTAGACAAAACAGAAGGGGACGTAAAAGAGGTGGAGGAGTTGCTTGACTAATCAGGAAGAATGTCACATCTGCACTCAAGAGGACATGGTGGAGGGCTCATCCTCTGAGGCAATGTGGGTACAGCTCAAAAATAAGAAGGGTGCAACTCTGATGGCATTATGCTATAGGCTCCCCCAAAGCCACCAAAACATTGAAGAATAAAGGAGTGTAGATTGTGGAAAGATGCAATAACAGGATTGTCATAGTGGGTGACTTTAACCTCGCCAATATTGGCTGGGACTTCCTTAGAGCAAGAGGCTTAGAGGGAGCAGAATTTCTTTGTGCATTCAAGAGGGTTTCTTGAAACAGCATATAGATAGTTCAACTAGAGGAGGGCCATACTGGACCTTGTATTAGCTAACAAGTCTGTTCAAGTGACTGACCTCACAGCGGGAGAGCATTTTGAAAACAGTGATGACAACTCCTTAAGTGTTAAGATGGCCATGAATAAGGATAAGTCAGGACCTTTGTGGGAAGGTACTAAATTGGGGGAGGACAAATTACGACAGAATTATGCAGGAACTAGGGAGAGTTAACTGGGAGCAGCTTTTATTGGACAAGTCGACATTTGACATGTGGGGAGCTGTTTAAAGACCTACTGATATGTTCCAGTGAGGAGGAAGGGCAAGGATGGCAAGGTAAAGGACCCTTGGATAATGAGGCATGTTGTGAATTTAGTCAAAAGGGAAAAAAAAACCTACGCATAGGGTTTAGGAAGCCAAATCGGACAGGGCTCATGAGGACTATAAGGAAAGCAGGAAAGAACTCAAGCAGGGAATTAGGAGAACAAGGGCAGGCCATGAAATGACCTTGGCAAGCAGGGTTAGAGAGAATCCCAAGGCATTCTATATATACATTAAAAACAAGCGGATAAGTAGGGAAAGGTTAGGACCACTCAAGAATAAAGGAGGGAAGTTGTGTTTGGAGGCTGAGGATGTGGGTGAGTTCCTAAATGAGTACTTGGCATCAGTATTCACCCACGGGAAGGATTTGGAGGACAGTGAGTTTAGTGTGAAGCAGAATACTATGCTAGGGCATTTTGAAATCAAGAAAGAAGTGGCGTTGGGTGTCTTGAAGAGCATTAAAGGTGGATAAGTCCTCGGGACCCAATTGCATCTACCTCAGGTTTTTGAGAGGGGCAAGAGGGGCCTTGACCAAGATCTTTGAATCCTCGCTAGCCACTGGAGAGATCCCAAAAGACTGGCAAGTAGCTAATGTTGTTCCTCTGTTCGAGAGGGGAAATAGGGATAATCCAGGAAACTATAGACCAGTGAGTCTCACATTGGTGTTTGGGAAACTACTGGAGAGAATTCTTAGGGATAGGATTTATGCACATTTGGAAAAGCATGGCTTAATTAGGGACTGTCAGCATGGCTTTGTGCAGGGCAGGTCATGTCTTACTAACTTGATCGAATTTTTCAAGGTGGTGATCAATGAGGGTAGAGTAGTGGATGTTGTCTACATGGATTTTAGTAGGGTTTTCGATAAGGTCTCTCATGGTAGTCTCATCCAGAAGCTTAAGAGGCACAGGATTCATGGTGACTTGGCCAGGTGGATTCAGAATTGGCTTGCCCATTGAAGGCAGAGGGTAGTGGTGGGTATTTTACTGGCTGGAGGTCCATGACTAGCAGTGTTCCACAACTGGGACCTCTGCTGTTTGAGATATATTTGATGAAAATGTAGATAGGTAGGTTAGTAAGTTTGCAGAAGACAAAAGATTAGTGAAGTTGTGCATAGTGTAGAAGGTTATCAAAGGATGCAGCAGGATATAGATCAGTTGTAGATATGGGCGGAGAAATGGCAGATGGCGTTTAATCTGGGCAAGCATGAGGTGCTGCACTTTGGGAGATCAAATGTTAAGGAAAAGTATACAGTTAATGGTAGGACCCTGAACAATATTGATGCACAGGAGGATCTTGGGGTTCAAGTCCATAGCTCCCTGAATGTTCCCACACAAGTAGACAGGACAGTAAAGGCAGCTTATGGCATGCTTGCCTTTATTGGTCAGGGCATTGAGTACAAGAGTTAAGATGTCATGTTGCAGCTTTATAAGACTTCGATTAGATCACACTGGCAACATTGCATTCAATTCTGGTCGCCACATTACAGGAAGGAAGTGGAAGCTTTGGGAAGGGTGCAGAAGAGGCTTACCAGGCTGCTGGCTGGATTATGAGCTATAAGGAGTGGCTAGAAAATCTAGGGTTGTTTTCAAGCCTGAGGGGAGAATTGATAAAAGTTTGTAAAATTATGAGATGCATAAATAGATTCTGACTGTCAACCCTTTCTCCCCCAGAGTTGAAATGTCTAATACTAGGGGCATGCATTGAAGGTGAGGGGGAGTTCAAAGATGATGTGAAGGGCAAGCTTTTTTTACCCAGAGGTGTAGGAGTCTGGAACGTGCTGCCAGGGGTGGTGCTGGAGGCAGATACAATAGGGGTATTTAAGGGGCTTTTAGATAAGCACATGAATACACAAGGAATGGAGGGACATGGAAAAAGGCAGGCAGATATGATTAGTTTAATTTGGCGTCATGTTCAGCACAACATCATTGGCCGAATGGCCTGTTCCTGTGCTGTACTGTTCTATATTATGAAAACGGAGAGCCAGAAAAGTAGTTATTAAAGCTTTCCTGTGTGACAGAAGGCTTCTGTATCTACAATGCAGAGGCTCAGCCTTCAATATACTTTTGAATATACCTAGATGATGCTTTGAATTGTTCATTTTTGTAATTTGCAAAAGGTATGAGCACATAAATGCAGCAAGACAGAATAAGGAGAAACAATAGTTTGGTTTGCACGGAATGCTTTTCATCCCCACCTTTACTTTGGCAGTGGCTGTTAGGAGAGAATAGTCTGGGGATTCCACAGCCTCTCGTTTCTGCTGTTGAGCATCAGGACCAACCAGCAAATTAAAGTGAGTAGCTAAGTGTCGTCTAAGCAGAGTCTTGTTGGGAGGAATATTCAGCAGCATCGCTAGTGTTTCCACATTAAAACGAGGTTCCAGAACCTGTAGATGGAACAGAAGCCATATTTAGATTAATCACATTTACCATGTATTCTTGACCAAGACTTCACAACCTTTGCACACATCTGCCCTCACACCTCAGACTATACAAGGTTGCAACTTTAATGTTAGGCACACAGGATTCCATTTAAGTTCCAAAAACAAGATTGCACAGTGCAAGCTTGAAATATCTCCTGTTGTATTTGATTTCCACTGGAGAAAACTACTACTCCCAACCAATGAAACAAATAGCTACTGACTTCTCACAATCTCGACGCACTAGTAACTAGCTACGGACCAAAAGCCTGCATTTGAGTAACTGCCACAATGCAAGCAGATTTTAATGAGAGAAATAAAAACAGAATACTGATAAAGTACACACCAGGGAAAAATCTGAGGTTTGGATGCAGGAAAGAACAAATAAGCTCCCAGCCTAAAATCTCTTGTCAGAGTCTTATTCACCAACATTATTCAGTTCTGACAAAAGGCCATTGACCTGAATTGTTTGCTCTGTTTCTCTCTCTATAGATACTATCAGACTTCCTGAGTATTGCCAGCAGTTTAAGATATTCAGCATCCACTATATTTTCCTTTTAAAAGAAAATTTTGTTTTTTGCATTCACAATCTTCTGTTCCTAAAGTGTTTGGTGCTTTTATTCCTAGCTACTGTGTGGTGGTGGTGATGGTGTGAAGGGAACATAACCTGCTTTAAATGTCTGCCTTTTTTCCCCACTTACCATTAATCCACCGTGCACACCACTACCACGCAAATTGGGTGCATATTCTGCCAAATCTGCTGATCGCAGCCATTCCATCACTCGGTGATTTGTCCACTGGGAGACTTCAGCGGGGGTGATGTTATTCTAGAAAGCAGAAAGTGATGGCTGATTAAAATGATCTTTCCTTGCAAATTTAAGAGCTGACACAGACTTAAATTCTGTACAGCCACCCGCACCTCCAATCTGCATTAACAGTGAGTATGTACTTAGAGACACTCCGGTCATGACAGGCATCAGGTAAATGCAAGCTGTATAGATACGTGTTTATCATTAACTGAGGTGCTTATTACCTCCTTTTGGTTCACAGACATTAATGATAACAAATTAGTTTAATATAATCACTGGAAAATGCGAGATAAGAAAGATCAATTTCATTTAAGAGAATATAATGATGTATGTTGCAGTCAATTCCTGGCCGCTCGCCTTCACTCAAAAGGAGGAGCAATACCCACACCACATGTCTGGGGTGCAGCGGTGCTTATTAGAGGGCAGAGGGAACCATAACATCAAATGCACAAGAGGAACAAATCATTTCAGAGAATATATTTCTCAATTTTTCCCTTCACTTTCCTGAAGGACTTGCTCCCAAGCATTTTCACTCTGCTAGCTTGGGAAATAGCAGCCCACAGATACTTTTTCACAATTCTCTCAGTATCTTTGCCACAATCAGGAGTGCCAAGCCTTCACACGACACCATCCACAGTGCACGTGGGGATCCGAACCAAAGTTTTGCTGCTGCAAAGTCAAGCTCAAATTGACCCACAGCAATCTTTACACATACCTCATCAGACGGCCTTCTACGAAGACAATTAGCTTCAAAATTATTTATTCGGAGAACCTGAATTGCCCTCTTGATGCTGAGGTGATGAAGAACACTGCCAACTTTCAGCGACAACAGGTCATCCTACAGGAGTAAAAATCATAAAAACTAATTTGGGAAACTGTACTACATCCTTGTGATAAACGACTGAAATGAATGAGAGGCAAACTGAATGCCAATAGTAAAAGCAAGGAGATAATATAATTGTGTCACAGGAAAAATGGCAGGTACTTGCTAACTTATACAAGTACAATTTCCAAACAAAATGAGGATGAAGTGTTTAGCTTGTTAGTTCAACAGATATTTAATACTGCAGTGAAACACTCAAAACGTCTTTTTAAGACCAGCAAATTTAAACTAGTTCGGAGCAGAATATTTTTCAAAAGATTGCTTAAAAAAAAAGACAAAACGGTTGAAAGCCAGTCCAATGCACAAACAGTGTCGCAAACCATGTCTTTACTTTCTCAGCAAAACACTAACAGGTTTTTTCTTTAAAACAAAAATCACCACAAACCACATCAATTCTATCCCCTGCACGTGTTTAAAGAATTTTCTCCATTGCCTGAAATTTGCCATTTTAGAAATCATTTAAATAATTTTGCTTGAAACTCCAAATTTGCATTAAAGATGGTTTGTTTAAAACATTCTTGCACCTTTGCTTCTTAAGCATGAAAGGTTAACTGAAACGGCTTAGGATGGAATTTTCTAATAGTATCTTGGCTTAAGATTTCTCTTTCCCTTTCATGCACAACCTCCTTTCACTATTTGTGTTCTGTTTGAGTACAGATGGACTATATTTGTTGGCAACGATTTAACATCTGGGCCAATTGAAAAACAGCCAATTGGTGCTCTATTATAGTTGCAGATGTCTCAAACATTTACTTTAGTGACCCAGTGCATTTAATGAGAAATATTAGTTGAAGGAAGTGTAAGCCTGTCTCTGGCCTGTTGCAAACACAGGCACGCTGTGACATCAGGGACTCACTCAACCTTGTATGTAATCTCACACCAAAGGGTCCTGCCATATGCCTTTTCAAGAAAATATTTTCACCTTTGACTGGATTTGAAGGAATTGTTTGGGCAATGACAATTAGTCAATGTAAACTTAAATATTAGGTTAATTATATTGTTTGTCTAACATTCAATGGGAGAAAAGGGCCATGCAGTTTCAAATACAATTCTAACCTTTACCGCAAGCCATTAACTAACTTTTAAAAAAAATACCACAAACACCCAAATGAAACAAGAATTTACTTGCCACGGTCACATAGTGAAGCATTCGACCATCAACTCTCCCTTCATCAAACTGTGTCTTATACTGGGGTAATCCAATATCATCCAGCCACCCTAATGGGGATAAATTCTATTTACTGCTTTGACAGTGAAGAAACAAGATTGGAAAACATTTGTACAATCAAAACAATGTGCATTACTTCATGCTGAAGTGACTGGATGAGGATAAAAGTATGGGGTTTTCTGTAGATTGAAGTAGCACAACACAGTATTTTTTTCTTTTACAAGAAGTACATCCCCTCTGTGCATCCTGAATGCATAAGTGAGACAAACTGCCAGCCTGGTTGATCACCTTAAATTCGGTATTAGCACAAGTCTTAGCACAATCTAGATTGCACAGCTGTTTCTTAAAGAAGAATCACATCTAATACTGGGCAATATGTTGAGTTTTGCAAGCACAGGAAATCTGGAGTACAGTCAGTACTCTCTGCCTGTGTGGCTCACTTTTATTTGGTTCATTCAGGGACTATGGATTTTTCTGGCTGCAACTGTCTTCACTGTCTTTCTCAATTGCCTTTCAGAAGGCGGCGGGGGCTTGAGAGACACTTCTTGATTTGCTGCTGTCCATTTTGTGTAGGTAAGCACGCAATACTGTTAAGGAAGGAATTCCAAGTTTTTGTCCCAGTGACGCTGGAGGAAAGGCAACATATTTCCAAGTCAGGATGACGACTAGCTTGGAGGGGAACTTGCAAGTGGTAGTATTTCCATATATTGGCTGCCTTTGTCCTTCTAGACACAAGCGGTTGCGGGTTTGGAAGGTGTTGTCCGAGGATCTTTGGTGAATTTCTGCAGCGCGTCTTGTAGATGATACACACTGCCAGTACCACGGAGTGCCAGTGGTTGAGGGAGTGGGTGTTTGTGGATTTATTGTCAATCAAGTGGGCTGCTTTGTCCTGGACAGAGTCAAACTTTTTGACTGTTGTTGGAACTGCACCCATCCAGGCAAGTAGAGAGTATTCCATCAAACTACTGACTTGAGCTTTGTAGATGGTGGACAGGTTTTGGGGAGTCAGAAGGTGAGCTACTCACTACAGTAATCCTAGCCTCTGACTTGCTCTTATAACCAGTTTTTATGTGGTGAGTCCAGTTAAAGTTTTGGTCAATGGTAACCCCAGGATGTTGATAGTGGGGGATTCAATGATAGTACTACCATTGAATGTCAGGGAGCAGTGGTTAGATTGTCTTTTATTGGAGATGGTCATTGCCTGGCATTTGTGCAAGGTGAATGTTACTTGCTACTTGGCAGCCCAAGTGCTGAATCTGTACTGGAACAGCTTAGATAGAAGCACATAGTCAGTATGATTGCTCTATTGTTGGCAGGGCTCATAGTTTTGCAATATTTTCTGCCTTGTCATTTTTTAATACCACACGGAGGGAATCAAATTAGCTGAGGTCTGGTATCTCTGTAGTTGCATGGGGACTTTAGAAGGAGACAAAGATAGTCATCCACTCAGCACTTTGGGATGAAAGTTTTTGCAAAAGCTTCATTCTCATTTTTGCACAATTGTGCTGGGGTCCCCCATAACTGGGGAGGGGGATTATTTATGGAAGTTCCTTGTCCACTGAGTTTTTCAATTGTCCCCCACCATTAACAACCAGAAGTGGCAGTAGTGCAGAGAATTAAACATGATTTACTGGTTACAGAATCATTTAGTCTTACGGTCTTTGGCATGCAAGCAGCTCTTAATGTCGAGATGGAACTTTGTCTCCATATGATTGCATAGTGCTGTTGGCAGGGGCGGGTGAACAGATTTCCTCACGTTTGGTCTGATGCCACTAATTCACAGGGCAAACAGTCAAATGTTGAGGACTCCCAAAGGAACTCCCTCATGACCGTTTACCCATGTACCACCATCTTAGCTGGGTCAGTGGTGCCAGTGGGACAGAAAATACCCAGCTGTATGGCACATTGGAAGTTGCAAGAGCATGACAACATCAGGCTGTTGCTTGACTAGTCTGCAAGAAGGCTCTCCCAATTCTGGCACTTCAGAGATGAGTTTGCTGTTAGCGCTTTTGATGCCTAGACTGATGTCAAGTGGTTTGTCCACTTACATTCCTGTAAGATTTTTTAAGCAGTTCCACAGAACTAAGTGGCTTACTAAGCCATTTCAGAGGGCATTTGAGAGTGAACCACATTGCCATGGGTCTGGAGTCACACATAGGCTAGGACAGGCCAGCAGCTTTCCTTCTCTAAAGGGCATTAGTGAATCAGATGAGTTTTTAGGACAATAAACATTGGTTTCATGGTTATCATTAGAGTTTTAATTCCAGATTTTCAAAAAAAATTTAAAATCCAGACCTGGTCCCCAAAGCATTAATGTGGTTCTCTGAATTACAGCAACAATATCACTCTGCAATAGGTTTTTCCTTTGAAGGTTCAGTGAAAAAAAAAATCAGCTAAACTGCGTGTGCATCTTGGGAATGTGCAATCACCGAAATGAAACACCCGAGACCTTGTCAGTTGAAGAAGAAATAAAAGAATAAAGATAGAAACACCTGTAAAAATATTGCTGGAAAAACGGCTGAATTTATTTAGATGTGGATGAAAAGATCTTTCTAATTGTCTCATAGAAAATAAATAGTTCTGTGCATTAAACTTATGTTCTTTTGTTTAAAGTACACTGGCAGCTTCATGTGAATATGTTCATTGAACGGCACAGCAAACTGGAAAAATACAACTAATGTCTATCATGCCAGGTTTCAGTCTGGGATCTTACTTGTCCAGTATTACCTCCACCTAGGATCATAAATCTCTTTCCCTTCCCACACCAAACTTTTTCTTCCATCCAACATTTCTACTTGGTCTCTCCCTCCATGATATTCTGGTGATTCTCTAGGTTTCAAAACCGACTTCAGACAGTCAATAAAAACTCATCTTCCATTCCCTTTCCATCAATGTTATGCCCATTTGTAGCCACACAACCCAGGTTGGTCCAGAAACAGCAGAACATATCCCAATTGCAATCAACACGCTTAAGAGGGCCTTAGATTCTTAAATAACCACAATTGTTGATCTCCAAGTCTTTATTGAGCACTGCGATATATTATTCTACTCACTTGTCACCCAGTTGTAGTCCAGCTTTCCCTTGTTATCTTCTTCTTCAGAGCCAAATGCTTGCAGAGCGAGTTGCAACTTCTTCCTATGTAGCGGATGCTTGATCCCAAGCTCCTATACAAACAGGTTGATCAAATAATGATCTGATTCTTCGCGGAAACTTAAAATTCAATCACTGAACATTCATTGCAATAGACATTGAATTAGAACATCGGTGTGAAGATTTCTGCTAACAACATATTCTCTCTTTTGAAAATACTAACTTGGTATGCCTAGCATAGTGTAATGTCAAAATTGCCTTAATGTGAAAAAAATGGCTAAATGGACAATGAGACAATTCAATTTGCAAGAGTCATACAGCAAGTAAACAAACCCTTTGGTCCAACTCATCTGCACCAACCAGATATCTCAATCTGACCTAGTCCCATTTGCTAGCACGTAGCCCATATCCCTAAACCCTTCATGTTCATGTACCCAACCAGATGCCTTTTAAATGTCATAACTGCCTCACTTTTGGCAGCTTGTTCCATAAATACATCACCCTCTGCATGGAAAAGTTACCCCTCAGGTCCTTTTTAAATCTTTCCCCTCTCACCTTAAACCTATGCCTTCTGGTTTTGGACACCTCCCCCTCCCCCCACTCAAGGGGAAAGAAAGACCTTGTCTATTTACCCTAACTATGCCTCTCATGATCTTATAAACCTCTAAGGTTAGCCCTCAGTCTTTGACAATCCAGAGAAATAAGTTTCAGCCTATTCAGCCTCTCCCTATAGCTCAAACCCTCCAGTCCTGGCAACATCCTTGTAAATCTTTTCTGCACCCTCCAAGTTTAACATCTTTCCAAGCTATTAAGAATTAGCTACAGCAAACAATCAAACTGTGTCACTAGTCTGAAGCATGCCAGAAAACAGTTTGTAGAGACACAGTTTGTCGTAGCTTTGTGTTGTTCATTCATCAGGATGATTCACAAGAATTATCGAACCACAAGGGAAACATTTATACCGTATGAAAGGAGTGTACTGACTGGTGGCAAGTGGATTCTGATTGGTACAGACATTCCCATGGAGAACACAGCAGTTAATAATGATCGACAGTCAGCTGCTAGGCTTTAAATTTTAAATCAGGCAGGTTAACACTGATTGGTCACAGCATTGCCCTGAGAAATGGGCTACTATACTGTTGTCACTTACTTTGTTTAGTTGAAATAAGCACAGTATGAGCACATGTTCTCGGTTTAAAAAGAACGCAGTCCTATATATTGATATGTATATCTTACAGCACAGGCAAGTGCACCACAGAGTTTGACTGGATCCTAAATTAGTTGTCAACGTAATTGTTCATATACTCAGGATTTTCCAGCAAATGCAACCTCATGCTGAAATGTGGTGCAAAGACATCATGGGGGCTAATGGCTACTGTACCTAGATAATTTCTCATTGCACAAACTAAATGGCCGTAAGGCTGTCACTTTTGGTCCTGTAAAGTGTCCAATCTATCTTTTGAGATAACTTTCCAAGGTAATCCAAGATTAATTAGTTGGCAAAGTTATCTATTTCATAAACGAAAACAGAAATTGCTGGAAAAACTCAGGTCTGGCAGCATCTGTGAAAAGGAATCATAGTTAATGTTTTGGGTCTGGTGACCCTTCCTCAGAGCTCATAACAATTTCATGTTGCTACTATATAGTGTGTTCATCACCAACAGGATGCTGCAGTCAAGCTGAAACCATGTTCTGCTCATCACACGAGTATTGTGGTATATGAAATTCAATGCCAGTATGATGCCCAGTATGTAAGATGCACAGCCCAAAGCATATCTGTTCAGCAGTTCACAAGGTACAGACTGTACCCAATGAGTTAGCACTTGCAAAATTTGCAACAGTGTCCAGCATCATATGCAATTACCTAATTGGATGACATTTGCTCGATAATCCTGAGTGTAGAAGAATTACGCTGACAACCAACTCAGGATTGTCAGTAAAGCTGTGAGACACACCGTCCTTTATGGTAAGCTGCAAGTAGTAATAAACGGGGTCCTGTTCTTTGCTGACAGAAAGAATGTGCGTGTGCATGTTCTCTGTTTCTACTCCACAAAATAGGTGAGTCATTTATAGATCAACTTGTCTTAGCAATACCTTGACCAATGAGAGCTAACCTGCATGGTTTAAAATGTAAAGGAAGGCTAGCAATTAACTGTCGGTCATCATCTAACTAGTGCATTCTTCATGGACAAACCTCAACCAGAATTCACTTATTAACCAAACACTTGCGCCTCATTGTATGAAATGGTGGTTTCCCCTCAAGTATTCTTATGAATTCCTCTGATGAGTAACAATCAAAAATTTTGAGGAAGTGTGTTCTTCCTCAGTAATACTGGAGTTCGGTATCACCAAACATGATCTGTTGCTAAACGTTAATCAACTGTCAGGAGAAATATAAGCAGTTCTGCCAATCACATTAACCACACCCTGAGACATGGAGCATAACATTTCAACGAGAAATTACATTGCTAACCAGGATAGACACATGCAAGCAGACAAACCTGTAATTCTACTTTAGTGCACCCCTTTGTGGATTTCCAGGACAAGTCAGCTATCTTACTGATTACATGCTATTTTAGTTGTTAATTATATGTCATATTAATGGAAAATCAAAAGCACAAACACTTTGCTGTTTAGAAATTCACCCAGATGCAGAGTGTCTCACTCCTTTTACCTCACAACTAATGGCCATGCCTCCAGATGTCTTGACCCCCAACCTCTGGAATTCCATCCTGAAAATTCTCTCTTTCCCCCTGTTTAACCATTCTGTGAATCACATGCCCCAATATGCCCTTTGCAAGTTCTAGAATTATTTTGAGTCATAATATGAAGCGCCTCAAAATGCTTTCCTACTTTAAAAGTACCATACAATGCGAGTTGTTGTAGTAATTTGACTCACTCTTTCGAGGTCCTGCTGAGATGCATGCAGCAAAGTCTGGCCTGAAGTGATCCAGGATTTGGAACCACCTACGTACATGCCCAATCCTTGGTCATGCAGCCAGTTACACACTTGCTCTCTGGTCCACTTTGCAAATGGAGCATCCAGATCACTGCAGAAAAATCATACTCCTCTCATTAGTGATGAATTTTATTTAGAACACAATTCCTTTAAAATTATTATAGAACCAAATCTTAGACACTATACAAGCCACAGGATCCACGGGTTAACTACAGAAAGCTCTCTAATTGCTCCTATCCAACTCCAGCTCATGGTTTGCCCATTTTATACTTCGGAATGTATACGGTCGATTTAACCAGTTAACAGGCCATTATCTATCTTTTACATTCCAAGCATATTGACTGTTTAAAACATCCTTTTAACAGCGTGTATTCCCTCCTCCATTAATATTGCCACCACATTTACTTTTTTCTTTTTTCCACCCCTGCCAAATAAATTACTCCCATATTTGTTTGTCATTCTTGTTATGTTTATAGTTTCCATTAATACCTAGAAAAATAAATTGCTGAGGTAACTTTGTTGCATTCTTCCTCGACAGGAACAAAAAAGGTGGCACAGTGGCTAGCACTGTTGTCTTCTAGCGCCAAGGGCCCAGGTTTGATTCCATCCTTGGGTGACTGTCTGCGTGGAGTTTGTACATTCTCCCTACGTCTGCATGGGTTTCTTCCAGTTTCCCCTCAGAATCCAAATTTGTGCAGGTTAGGTCAATTGGCCATGCTAAATTGCTCCATAGTGTCCAGGGATGTGCAGGCTAGGTGAATCAACAATGGGAAATGCACGGTTACAGGCTTAGGGTAGGTGGGTGGGGGTGGTGTGGACTCGATGGCCTGCTTCCACACTGCGGGGATTTTATTTCCAATTTCTTTTCCTTACAATCTACATAGGTGGTATGTAAATTTTATATCCTAGCGAGCTATGACTGCTCAGTTGAATATATTCAAGACCAAGGTTAATAGTATATTTGTTCTTCTAAACGAAGCAAGGCATGTGGAGAAACAGGAAAGAAAGTGGTGTTAAGACCAAGTCAATAAAGTTCTTACTGAACGGCAGAATAGGCTCAAAGGATCACATGGTCTTCTCTTGCTTCTCATGGTCTTAGCGTAGGGCTTTAAAAATGTTTGCCAAACCACATCATACAGGGTTAACCAGATATGACAATGAGAAATTGAAGATAGTGGACTATTACATGGAAAGTAGGCTTGGTGCAAAAACCACCTTTGGCTGGAATGGGGATCAGAGTAGTGTGCAGAAAACATGGACAACCTGGGTGTGTTTTATTATCCCCTGTTTTCAGGCAACAGAATACCTGGGAAAATATTGAAAGTACTAAAACTGTGATACAGCACATAACACTGGATTCAGAAGAGTATTGCTACTGGGGATTTTGCCACACTCATCAGACTTTCACCAGTGAACTGGGGTTTGAGAGACCAGGGCCACGGAAAGTGAGATAAAACTTAAGTGCCTCTGTAGCCAATCCCCAATGAGCCGAAAGGCATTGGGACTCATTAGATTGCACATGTATAATGTAGTTTAAGTTAGCAGATTTACTCATTAGTTTATATATAAAAATAGATCAAGCTAACTGATTTGCTCATTAGCTTGTATATATTAAGCAGATTAAGTTAATAAATTTGCTACGCATGGAAGTGCATGTCGTCTTGTCCTCATTTTGATATCCATTAGGTACGTTCAGCCTAATAATACATGGTCTCAATACAAAATTGAATAGATCTGTCACAGCATCGCTGAATTGTAGATAGCAGTCAGAACAGGTTAAAACACAAACCCATAAGTATCTTAACAGAACACTCATTACATTTTGAAATGTAAACACTAATTTATCATACGTTTTAGAATGCTGCAGATCCCGGGACCAGCCAAGTTTGGGACCTGATGTACTTCTGGTTCCACCTCTCTTGAAATCTGAATCAGTCATATCATCAGGAGTAAAGGTGGTTGACTGACTTCTTTTAAGCCTGTAAACAAAAACCCAAAGAAAAATGTGCTCAATTCAGGTTACCTGAAGTCCAGTGTACCATCGTCACCTTTCACTTTGCCAGCAAACCAACATTTTCTTCTCTGCAGTTGCCTCTTTCCCTAAGCGTTCATTCAATAAGGAAAAAGGTCTCATCTCTTGCTGTCACTGATTAAACCATTACTGGCTGAAACTCAACCAGACCTTGAGCTTCTTTCTAAAACCACCCTCCCCGCTTAAACTTTCTCTCAACTCCACTAGTCAAATCATATTACCCTTAAAAATCAAACCTGTTTCACTTTCCAAGATGACTTTCTGATCTCTCAAAAAGTCAGGAATATCCAGAGAACTGGAACCAAAATCTATTTTACCTCTATTTTGACATTCAAATTCCCAAACAATAACATACTGCATTGTTCTCAGGCACTCTCCCTTCCTTTTCAAAACCACTCTCATCACGATGAAAAGCAAAACCCTCAGGCCCAACATCCCAGCAAATTGGGGAAGTGGTGGTGTTGTGGTAATGTTATTACAGTAGTAAGCCAGAGAATGAGGCTAATGGTCCAGCAGCATGGTTTCAAATCCTACCACAGCAGAATTTAAATTCAATTAATTAAATCTACAATTGAAAGTAGTCTCAGTAACCGTGATTACAAAGCTACAACTGATTGTTAGTTCACTCATGTCCTTTAAGAAGGAAGCCTGCCAATATTTATCCGGTCTGACCATGATTCCAGGCCCGGAGGCAATGTAGTTGACTCTTAACTGCCTTCAAATGTCCTAGCGAACCACTCAATTCAAAGGCAATTAGGACATTTCTGAAAAAGCTGATTTAAAATATCTAAAACTGTCACCCTACTTCTAAACGTTTCTTGTTAGCTTTTAAAAGCCTTCAGAATGTTTTAAAAGTAACTTGCATTTATACAGCTCCATTCATGCCATCAGGATGTTCCAATATGCCTTATAACAATTGAGTACTTGTTCTTAAGTACAGGCACTGTTGTAATGTAGGAAATACAGCAGCCAGTAACCTCCCACTAGTAGTGATGTGAATATGACCATAATTTGCTTTCGTGATACCGAGGGGAAAGAAATTGACCAAGGCACTGGGGAGAATTCCTTTTTAAAGATTGTGTCATGGGATCTTTTACATCCAGAGTAGACAGCTTTCAGTTTAATACAACAGATGGTATGTTTGACAGTCTCCCTCAATATTACACTACAGTCTCAGCCTCAACTTCTGTGCTTCAGTGTTGGAATGGGACTCAAACCCAGCACCTCTTGACACTCTCCATTTGAATATCTCTAAACAGGTTCCTGCCCTTGCCTTAGTAAATACATGGCACCTGAACTAAAAACACAAGCAGCATCTTGCAGCCTTTCAAATGAGGAGCCACATCATCCTCCTCCAATTACTTGCCTGCATTAATAACAGTGAAGCTATGCAGGGGCAGTCCTATTAATATGGACAAAGCAGGAAAGATAAAAGCAAAATACTGATGCTGAAAATCTTAAGAAAAACAAAATACTAGAAAAATTCAAAATTTATTATATTTCTAACTTTACAGTTCTGACGCAAAGTTCCAGGCCTGAACTGAAGGAGGGTATAGGCCCGAAATGTCAGCCTTCCTGCTCCTCTGATGCTGCTTGGCCTGCTGTGTTCATCCAGCTCTGTACCTTGCTTTCTCTGAAATGTTAATTCTGTTTCTCTTCGCAGATGCTGCCAGAGTCTAGCATTTTCAGCATTTTGCGTTTTTGTTTCAGATTTTCAGCGTTTCACACAGTACTTTGCTTTTGTCTTGCCTCCTTTGTCCAGGTCAATGGCACTGCCTCAGATGGCTCTACTCTTACCAGATCATCCCAACGCGAGCTTAACAACTAGCTCCCACCTATTCCTCCAATGTCCTCCAGCAATCGTTCCTTGGATCCCAGCTATTATTCACCTGAATATTATCTCTTAGTGAAATCATCCACAGAAAAAGGTCGGCTTTCACACACAAACTGATGAGACACAACTTGCTTGATCACTTCTGTATGATAAGTGTGCTCTTCAAATATCCTGAGACAAATATTCTTTATGTACATACTGGGAAGGCCAAATACATCAGCTTCAGCCCTGTCACAAAACCCTGCACCTAAGCCATTGATTTCCTTCCTGCACCTGGCTGAAGCAATTTAACTATGGAGTTCTTTCTGCCCAGTCTTTGTCTCAGTGTGAACCAAGCCATCCACAATCTCAGCATGTTATTTGACAGAGAGACTGGTCAGTTCCACATCTGAGAGACGTTGGTTGGCTGCTCCCCTCAACATATGGAAACTCATCCATGTATTAGAAACCTCAACTCTTTAGCGTTTCAATGCTCTCCTGACTCTCCATTAGAGTTTATATGTAGGATTAAACAACGGGGTGGGAAAATGTTCATCTGGTATATAAACACCAGTATACACTTGGACTCAAAGCATTTCCATGTTGTAAGTATTTTATAAATTTTCACTTTCTCTTCCCCCGTAAGTGATGGCTGTCTTCCAGCCTCTTGGGCCTAAAACATTGAAATTCCACTTGTAAACCTACCTGCTGCTGCAGCTCCCGTCTCCTTTAAGGTTGTCTGGAAAACTCTAGAATAAACATTTTGCTACTACTCCCATTATCTCTCTGATTACGGCTCTATGGAAAACCTGAGGCAGTGCCTCTTGCCCCTCAGCAGTTTTAAGATGTGTATAAAGGGAACGTTTTTGGCATCATCTTTAGAACATTTATCAATCACAAAACCATTACTTTAATGTCAAAGTCCCTATTAACTTTATAATTGTAACGTTTATAATTGGGGTAAGGGTAATTACAATTCTGTTAGGCAAGAACTGGGTAACTTAAATTGGGAACAGATGCTGTCAGGAAAGAGCACTATTGAAATGTGCAGATTGTTTAAGGAATGCATACTGCGTGTGCTCAATATGTTTGTCCCTAGCAGGCAGGAAAGGTGCGGGCAAGTGAGGGAGCCTTGGTTCTCAAAAGAGGTCGAACAACTGGTTAAGAGGAAGAAGGATGCTTATGTAGGTTTAGGAAACAAGGAACGGAAAAGGCTCTAGAGGGATACAAGCTTTCCAGGAAGGAGATGAAGAAAGAGCTTAGGAGAGCTATAAGGGGGCATGAGAAAACCTTGACAGATAGGATCAAGGAAAACTCCAAGGCTTTTTAGACGTATGTGAGGGATAAGAGAATGACCAGAGAAAGAGTAGGGCCGATCAAGGATCGTAAAGGGAATTTGTGCACGGAGCCTAAAGAGATAGGAGAGGTCCTTAATGAATACATTTCTTCGGTATTCACAACTGAGAGGGACCTAGTTGTAGAGGAGGACAGTGTGAAACAGGCTGGTCAGCTAGAGGAGGTCGATGTTAGTAAGGAAGACGTGCTAAGAATTTTGAGGAAGTTGAAGATAGATAAGTCCCCCGGGCCCAATGGGATTTATCCAAGGATTCTATGGGAAGTGAGGGAAGAGATCGCAGGGCCTTTGACGATGATCTTTTTGTCCTCACTGTCCATGGATATAGTGCCGGAAGATTGGAGAGGGGCAAACTTCATTCCCTTGTTCAAAAAAGGGAATAGGAATAACCCCGGAAATTACAGGCCAGTTAGTCTTACATCAGTGGTGGGCAAATTATTGGAAAGGGCTCAGAGATAGGATTTATGATCACTTGGAAAGGCACAGTTTGATTTGTGATAGCCAGCATGGATTTGAGGGGTAGATCATGCCTCACAAACCTTATTGAATTCTTTGAAGAGGTGACCAAACATGTGGATGAAGGTAGAGTAGTGGATGTGGTATACATGGATTTAAGTAAGGCATTTGATAAGGTTCCACATGGTAGGCTCATGCAGAAGGTAAGGAGGCATGGGATAGGGGGAAACGTGGCAGATTGGATTCAGAATTGGCTGACCCGTAGAAGACAAAGGGTGGTAGTGGACGGAAAATGTTCAACGTGGTGCTCAGTTACCACAAGGATCTTTCCTGGGTCCTCTTCTATTTGTGATTTTTGTAAATGATTTGGATGAAGGAGTGGAAGGATGGATTAGCAAGTTCGCAGACAATACGAAGGGCTGTTATAGGTTACAAAAGGGGCATTGCTAGGATGTAGAGCTGGGCTGAGAAGTGGCAGATGCAGTTTAACCCTGAAAAGTGTGAGGTGATTCATTTTGGAAGGACAAACTTGAAAGCAGAATACAGAGTTAACGGAAAGACTCTTGGCAGCGTGGAGGAGCAGAGGGATCTTGGGGTTCACGTTCACATTTCCCTCAAAGCTGCCACCCAGGTGGATAGAGTTGTTAAGGTGGTGTATGGTGTGTTAGCTTTCTATTAATAGAGGGATCGAGTTCAAGAGCCGTGAAGTTATGCTCCAGCTATACAAAAGCCTGGTTCGGCCACATCTGGAGTATTGTGTCCAGTTCTGGTCGCCTCATTACAGGAAAGATGTGGAGGCGTTGGAAAAGCTGCAGAGGAGATTTACCAGGATGTTGCCTGGAATGGAGGGAAGGTCTTACGAGGAAAGGCTGAGAGCGCTAGGGCTTTTCTCTTTAGAACGACGAAGGACGAAAGGTGACTTGATAGAGGTGTACAAAATGATCAGAGGTATAGATAGAGTGGACAGCCAGAGACTTTTTCCTAGGGTGGAGGTAGCTATTACAAGGGGGCATAGTTTTAAAGTTGAGTGGAGGTAGATACAGGGGAGACGTCAGAGGTAGGTTCTTTACTCAGAGTGGTAGGGGTGTGGAATGCATTGCCAGAGAGGGTAGTGGAATCGATCTCATTAGGGGCATTTAAGCGGCTATTAGATAGGCATATGGATGATAGTATAAGGTAGGGGTGGAGGTTAGATAGACCTTAGGATTAGGGTAAAAGTTTGGCACAACATCGGGGGCCGAAGGGCCTGTACTGTTATGTTCTAACGTAATTTTGTTCAATATTTATTTGGTACATCTCACCGCTCAGTGGATTTATATCAACGTACACAGGCATCTTGTACAGACAAAGGCAATTTTACATCAGCTCACAAGAATATACCAGTTCTCAAAGAACTCCAGCAATTTTGAAATAAATTACATATTCAGTTTTTGGGAATGAATTCACAGGAGCAAATTTAAATACTGTCCCAAGTTATTTCTGATAAACTTGTAGCAGACAGTGCAGCAATCATCCCTTGACACCTGAAAATGAGCTCCATGCAATTCAGAAAACTTAGTTTAAGAGGGAAGAAGGGCCCATTAAAAATCACGATAAATTTTCTTTCTTCCTGCCTGCGTAAAACTCTAAATTAACCCAATATTTTACATGCCAAAAGTTTAGCATTAAGAAAAATAACTTACTTTCCAAACAATTTTTTAATTCCTTTTGATTTCTTTTTCAATTCTGGGGAAGTTGGAAATAGCTGACAACCATCAGCTTCTGCTGCACGCAGTGGGAGACCAGCAGTATCCACATGCTCTGATTCTCTCTCTGTCTCAGCTACATTTTGAAAAGAAAAGAGCATTAAATTTAGTTTGTGTGCTGATCCAAGTCAGCAAAATGGACTTTGGTTTAAGAATTTAAAAAACTCCTTGGCGAAACAAGGCCAAAATCTGTAGAATCTTTGAATGTAAAAGGAACACTCCAGAATTAAACCCCAGGCATGGCCTTATCCTTGAATCCACTGAGAAACCACACCGCAGTATCTAACATAACAAATAAAACTTACCATAAGGTGCCTAGTTTTGAAACTGGAGCTGCCATCTTCTGATATGGGCAGAAACGGGAGATTTTGCCACTAAGCCTTTTCTCTGAGAAGCATGTAGTGCTTGAAATCCAGCCCAAGCAATGAATGAAAAATCTTTAAGGGTCAATCTTGCAAATACCAAGAATTTACTAGTAACGACGATTAGGGCAGAGATGGCAGGGGGTCCTCATAAAATACTACGTTAAAATCCCAAAACATTTCATGCCCCCAAAACATTTACATACATTTTGCACTACGGTATATTTTCACATAAATAAGTGAAAACTTCTTGTTTGGATCATTTTATTTGAAAATTATAATCCTTCAATTCACTTAAACCATCAACTTCTGAATGAACTTCTGCCTAGATTATCAGAAGTTACATCTGCAAATGCCTTACTGTTATGGACTGAGATCAGCTGTTCCCATTTGTGATATCTATCACACTCAGCAGAGCCAAACCAACACCTGACTAACACCTTCACCTTAGATGCATTTTCAACTTGACAACTTTATTATTTATGAAAATTACATGTTGGGAAAATAATTCAGACAAAAAAAGATGCCCTTGCTCCTTTCATAGTGGTTTAGTCTTTAAATGAATTAACTAGTGGTCATTACTTAAACTCTACACAGTAACCATGGCAAGTATAGTGCTGTTCATCAGCAAGAAATCATAGTAGAAAGCTCAAAGTTGACATGGAAAATGTGGTGGCTGACTAGTTTCATGGCATGATTGTTGCTACTCACGATCTTCTCTCTCCCTGCAGGCAACAAAGCAGTGCTTTAGGCAAGTAATTGATGTATCAATGTGTGTGTGTGTATATATATATAGAACACAGAACAGTACGGCACAGAAAATAGGCCCTTCTGCCCACTAGGTCCGAGCCGACCATGATGTCATTCTGAACTAAACTCACCTGCCTGCTCATGGTCCATTTTCTCTACTCCCTGCTTGTTCATGCTTAAATGTTGCCATCGTCTCTACCATCTCCCCTGGCAGTGTGTTCCAAGGACCTACCACCATGTGTAAAACAGAAACTTGTCTCACACATCTCCTTTAAATGTTTTCCTGCTCACCTTAAACCAGAGGACTCCTCAGTATTTGATATTTCCATTTGGGAAAAAGACTCCAACTGTCCACTCTATCCATGCCTCTCAATTTTATAGACAGTAAACATTTTATTAACTGGCACCTATGGGACCAGGAGTGTGCTGGTTGATCAAATATTTGGGTTGATCAAGAGATTCACAATCAATTTAAAAATAAACACTAAAAATAGAAATGTAACGCAGACGGTATTTTACAGCATGGACCACTTAAATAATAATGCAACTTTGCCTTAAATAAAATTTACCAGCAGAAAGCTTTCTCACTCGCACCCTCAACTGATTACTCGGACATTGCAGAGATCGTGATAATACAGTAAACTTCTAATCGGAGTACATAATTTTTGGTGGTTTATCAAGAGCCAGTTCTTAAGGTGCACGTTAAAACAAAGTTTGCTGTACTTTTAACAAGTTGTTCCTCAGCCTCCGATGCTAGAATGAAAACTATCCAAGTTTGTCCAATCTTTCCTTGTGGCTATGCACTTCAATCAGGCAACATCCTGGTAAAACTCTTTTGCACCCTCTTCAAAGCCACCACATCCTTCCTATGGTGTGGTGACCAGAACTGCACACCAAACGAAGACCAACTAAAGTTTTACGCAGCTGCAACATGACTTGTCAGTTTTTTTTATATTCAATGCCCCAACTGAAGGCAAACATACCATATGCCGTCTTTGCCACCTTATGTTGGCTCTTTCAGGGAGTTATGGACTTGCTCCCTAGGATCGCTCTGTTCCTAAGAGTCCTGTCATAGAGTCATACAGCATGGAAACAGACCCTTTGGTCCAACTCATCCATGCTGACTAAGTTTCCCATTTGCTTCTAAACCTTTCCTATTCATGTACCTGCCCAAATATCCTTTAAATGTTGTATCTATACCTACATTGCCACTTCCTCAGGCAGTTCATTCCACACATGAACCCTCTGTGGAAAAGGTTGCCCCTCAGATTTAAAATGGACCTTTCTCCTCTCACCTCAACAATATGCCCCCTAAATTTGGGGGCACTCTAGGGAAAAGACCATGGCTACTCACCTTATCAATGCCCCTGAGGATATTATAAACCTTTAAGGCCACCTGCAACCTCCTACACCCTAGGGAAAGAAGTGCCAGCTGATCCAGTCTCTCCTTATAACTCAAACGCTCCAGCCCCGGCAACATCCTGGTAAACTATAATTTCTAATTTAGTAATATTCTTCCTATAGCAGGGTGACCGGAACTGTACACAGTACTCCAAAAGTGGCCTCACTAACATCCTGTTCAGCCGCAACATGACGTCCCAACTCCTACACTGTTTACTCGCCTCTTGCGTTTGACCTTCCAAAATGCATTAACTTTCACTGGTCTGATTAAACTCCATCTGCCAGTTCTTCGCCCAACTTTCACACTGATCTATATTCTGCTGTATCCTTTGACAACTATCTTCACTTCCCACAACTCCAATTTTCACGTTGTCTGCAAACCAGCTAATCAGACAACCTACGTTTTCATCCAAATCATTTTATAAATCACAAATGACAGAGTTCCCAGCACTGGTCTTTTAACACTGGTCAGACCTGCAGTCAGAAAAACACCCCTCCACAACCATCATCTATCACTAAGCCAATTTTGTATCCAACTTACTAATTCACTGGATCCCACATGGCTTAATCTTCTGGACCAGCCTATGGATGGATCTTGTCAAATGCTTTAGTAAAATCCATATAGACTATATCCACTGCCCTACCAATCATCTTTGTTACTTCCTCAAAAAAATTCAATTAAGTTTGTGAGACAAGACCACCCCTGCACAAAGCCATGGTGATTAGCCTTAACAGGTCCAGTCTTTTCCAAATGCAATAAATTCTGTCCGCAAGAATCTTCTCCAATAATTTCCCTACCACTGCGTAAGGCTTCCTGGCCTATATTTCCTGAAATATCCCTGTAGTCCTCTTCAAACAAAGGAGCAACATTGGCTATTCTCAGTATTCCAAGACCTCACCTATGACTTAAGAGGATACAAAAATCTCTGCCAAGGCCCCAGCAATCTCTTCCCTTGCCTCTCTCAGTATCCTGGGATAGATCCCATCAGGCCATGGGGACATAACTACCTTTGTTTTTCAAGGCATCCAACACCACATCTTTCTTAATATCAACATGCTCCTTCCTAATCTTATCATCATCCATGTCTTTCTCCATGATGAATATCGATGCAAAGTACTCATTAAGGACAACATCCACTTCCTCTGGCTGCAAACAAAAATTCCCTTTGTCCTCGAGTGGACCTAGCCTTTTATTAGGAGTAAGAGGATAGCTAAGACATGTATAAAATACTTTGGGATTCTCTTTAATCCTACTTGCCAAAGACCTGTCATGGCCCCTTCTAGCTCTTCTAATTTCTTGTTTAAGTTATTTTCTGCTCTCTTTATAATCCTCAAAGACCTTATTCGGTTTTGGTCCCTGGACCTTAACTGTGCTTCTTGTTTCTTTTTCATTAAACTTTCAATATCTCCTGTCATCCAAGGTTCCCAAATCTTGCCATTCTTATCTTTCATCCTCATAGGAACATGCTGGTCCTGAACTCTGAAGAACAGGCCCTTAAAAGACTCCCATGTCAGATATGGATTTAGCCTCAAACAGCCACCTCCAATTTATTTCTCCAGTTCCTGCCTAATACAGCTGTAACTGGTCGTTGCTCAGTTTAGCACTTTAGCACCAGTCATATCCTTATCCGTTTGTATTTAAAACTTAGGCAATTACAATAACTGTTCCAAAATGCTTCCCCACTTTGATCACCTGCCTAGACTCATTACCCAAATCAAGGTCTAGTATACCCATTCTCTACTTAGAATATTGACATATTATTTCAAGAAACTTCCCGGATGCACCTAACAAATTCTACTCTACCTAAGCCCCTGGAACTAAGAGTCCCAATCAATATTGGGGTAAGTTAAAATTACCCATGACAACAACTCAGTTATTTTTACATTTTTCCATGATCTGCTTACATGTTTATTCCTCAACCACCACCTTCCTATTGGGGAGGTCTACACTGTAACCCCATCAGTGACTGCACCCTTCATACTCCCAAATTCTACCCATATTGCCTCACTGGATGAGCCCTTAAGATATCGTCACTTAGTGCAGCTGTGACATTTGCCTTAGTCAGTAATGTAATTTCCCCATCCCTCTTACGTCCACCTTTGTCGTGCCTGGAACATCTAAACCCCAGGATGTTGAGCAGCCACACTTGCCTTTCCCTCAACCAAGTTTCTGTAATGGCTACAACATCATAGTTTCATGTACTAATGCAGGCTCTAAGCTCATCTGCCTTACCTGTTATACACTTGTACTGAAATAAGTACGCTCCAAAGCATCAGTCCTACCTTGTCCATTGAACTAACCCTGGCTGTTCTTCCTTTTAGACTCGATCTAACCTCTACCTTCTCCTCAATCACTCTGCATGCTGACCTACTGTTCTGGTTCCCAGCCCCTTGCCACATTAGTTTTAAACCCTCCTGAGTCACACTAGCAAACCTCCCAGCAAGAACACTGGTGTCCCTCCTATCCTGGAAGGGATCCCAATGATCCAGATGTCTGAAGCTCTCCCTCCTACTCCAGCTCTTTTGCCATGCACTCAGCTGCATTATCTTGCTATTTCTGTCCTCACTAGCATGTGGCACAGGGCGTAATCCCAAGATTACAACCCTAGAGGTCCTGCCTTTTAACGTACTACCTAACTCCCTAAATTCCCTTTGCAGGACCTCATTCTCTCTTTCTGCCTGTTGCTCGTACCAATATGGGCCATTACCTCTGGCTGGTTACTCTCCCCTTTCAGAATATCCTGTGCCTGCTCAGAGACGCCTTTGACCTTGGCACCAGGGAGGGAACACACCATCCTGGAGGATTCTCACTCATGGCTATCTGTGCCCCTGACTACGGAGCCCCCTATCACTACTGCTTGCCTACACTTCAATCCTCCCTGATATACAACAGAGCCATTTGTGGTGCCACTGACTTGGCTGCAGCTGTTGTATCTAAAATTTATTCACATCTTCAACAGCTCCCAAGGAGAAAAAAACCAAACTACCCACCTGACTTTAATATGATTAGTAAAGCCAATGTAGATTTAAGGAGAAAATGAAGATCAGAACAGTCATACCACATTTTAATGTTACATAATTCATCCAAACAACTTTACTCCAGTGAGTATGTCCAGGACGTCAACTTGTTTGACTTTAATTCTATCCAAGAAAGCCATGTGGATCTTGATCAATCACCTATACTTTTACAAAGTTTCCAAGTCACTATGTTATAGCTATACAATATTTCTGCTGCAATGAGTGTTTTGTTAATGCGAATTGGCTAGAACGTGACTGATGAATATAGACACTGTTTGGATAACGCAAACTTTCTACTGTGTAGCAATTTTCTGTAGGGATTTTCCTATAACGTGATTTTCTATGGAGTGGGGTTGCACAAGAACGCAACTGTCATGCTATAGGAGAACTACTTGTATACGTCAGCTTGCATTTATATGTTGCCTTTAACATAATAAAAATACTAAGGTGCTTCACAGGAGAGATGTGTAAATAATATGAGATCAAATTATGTGAGGAAATATTAGGATAAGCAACCTAAAACTTGTTCAAAGAGGTGAGCCTGAATCAGTGTCTTAGAAGAGGGGAGAAGGGAGAGATCGAGTTCTGGAATTCCCTCTCTGACAGTCAGGTAGCTGAAAGCAGAGCTGCACTGGAGCCAACACAAGTTAGTGAATATAAATGCTGGATGAATTATTTAAATGAAATTAAATAAAACATAGGAAGGATTTTGGAAGAGTTCAACGTTATGAAAGGTGAAAATTATGTGAGAAACTGAGTGGCAATCAGGGCATTGCAATCATCGGCCAACATCCTCACTTCATATTATTGCCATTCGTACGAAGGAGGGGTTGTCATTAGGTAGTTGCGGATGGTTGAGTTTAGGACACTATCGTGGCATTTTCTTCCTTGTAACCACCATAACCAGATTCTTTTGTGCTAGGTAAAGGCCTGGCCAATGAAAAGTCTTCTCTTGTGCCAGCCAATTCCCATTCTGTTTAATTTGATAGAGATTGTATAGAGTAACATTTGAGTGCATGAATGGTTTACAAGATAGAGGTGCAGCTTGAAAACCTGCAAGAAACCAGTGGAATAGTCAGTGAAGAGATTAGACCCAACATGTTCAAAGGCAATAGGGGACAGGCAGTAAAATCTGGCCGAGCCAGTGATGCCGATGTCCCACAAGTGAATTGAAAAAAACTACTGTGTTAACATGTCTACATTTTCTTTCGGCACAGTTACATGAGTGATTAATGCTGCCATATTCCCATGAAATAGCAGGAAAACAGGGATGCCAAAGCAGTGACTGTACAATCTGTCAATAGTCCCAATGAACTGCAGTATTTAGTAGCATTTAAAGCTGTATACTTTAAACCAAACAGGGCTAGATAACCAAACAAGGCTGATCATCACACACTGTAGCATGCGTCTGGTGGTTTGATATCCAAGCTTTTTCATAGCAGTCTGATGCCTATACCAAATTTGAGAAAATTAAAGGCATCTAAGACTTCTTTTATTCGATATTAAAGTTATTTTGTAAATGAAAGCTATTATTCTCTCTTCTCTGGTTACTAGCAGTCATACATGCAATGAAGTTCACTTTTGACAAACTAAGAAAGCAAAACTCCCAAGGTAGAGCAACCCGAAATCCAGCAGGCCATCATCCAGATAAGAGCGAAAATGAATAGAGCGTTTTGAAAGGAACTGTAGAGCTAGCTTAATGCTAGTAACTTAAAACAGCAATCTCTGCCTTCAGGTGACCTGAACATTCTACTCAAAGCTAAAGGCAGATTTTGCAGTTTAAAGATTCATGTTGCATTGACACAGTATTATAGGATTTATTTAGTTTAAGCTTAACCTTCACATCTTCATTAGCTCTGCTGAGCATGTACAGTAATAAACAGCTGCAAGATACGTCCATAGCAAGGCATTGGTGCAGTCAAACATGCAGCTATACTATACCTAGCATCGGTGCACTTGCACTTCGACTGCGATCTTCAGTCATCCAGAAAATGTGCATGATGGTGAGGAACACGGCAGCACAGAATATGCGAAATAACAAGGTAAAGTACAGATCAATTTACAAATACAAAGCACTCCAATCAGAAAGGTCAGGAAATGTTCACAACATTAACAAAAGTAGTCAAGTACTGATGTTTAATTTAAACAAACAATGGTGACAATTTTGTTGACAAGTGAGGGTAATGGTTGAACTGGAAGGAGTTGCCTTAGTTAAGCTGTATCAAGTAAATTGTTAAGTATTAAGAATGCAATCAACTAGACAGATATTCAATAACACCATTTTCATAGTTCGATTTGTACACATAAAATAGTTATAACTAAGTAGAAAGGCGACCTTCATTATAGGCAGAAGTCACACTACCAGGTTATAGTCCAACTGGTTTATTTGAAATCATGAGCTTTCGGAGCGCTGCTCCTTTGCCAAATCACTTCAGCTGACAAAGGAGCAGCACTCTGAAAGGTCATGATTTCAAATAAACTGCTGGACTATAACCTGGTGTAATGTGACTTCTGACATTGTCCACCCCAGTATCTCCATTTCATTATAGTGTAACAGATAAAATGGAAGGTATCAATGTGCACTTTGAACAGTTAAAAAGTTTCTATATTTCTTCTTTAGAACATTATCTAAAATAGTGCAAGAAAAACCTGCTTGCATAGTCTAGAGAGGTTTACAAACTCAATCATGGGATGTGGGCATACCTGGCTAGGTCAACAGTTATTGACCATCCCTAACTGACATTAAGAGAGTGATTTTCAGAATTTTAACCTGGTGATGGTAAAGGAGCAATGGTTTCAAGTCAGAATGGTGTGTGACTTGAAGGGTTACTTGCAGATGGTGATGTTCCCATGCATCTGCTACTCTTGCCTCATTGGCAGAAATCTCAGATTTAGAAGATGCTGTTTGAGGAACCTGGGTGAATTGCTGCAGTGCATCTTGTAGGTGGTACATACTGCTGCTACTGTGCATCAGTGGTGAAGGACATGGATGTTAAAGGTGGTAGGTGGAGCGCTAATCCAAGAGGTTGGTTTGTTTTGGATGGTGTCAAGTTTGAGTTGTTGGCTCTGCATTCATCCAGGCAAGTGAAGAATATTTCATCACAGTCCTGACTTGTGCTTTGTAGATTGTGACAGACGTCGAGAAGTTAGGATAGGAATTCATTGCCACAAAATTCATAGGCTCTGATAGTTTTATAGTTATGATGGCTGGTCCATTTCAATGCCTGGTCAACAGCATCTCCCAGGATATCGACAATAAGGGATGCAATGATGATAATACCATTAATTATCAAGGATAAATGGTTACATTTTCACTTGAAGTTGGTCATTTCCTGGCATTGTAGAACAAAATTAAATGATTTTAGCCAACTGCATCACACATCTTGTTCTATACAATAGTGAAGATTTATCAACAGAACAATAAAGTGCCCAAAACACACTGCGCCCATCCGAATACTATTTTATTGAATATTCTGAATATTATGCACATCAGGTCAGACACATTAAATCAAACTCAGTTACTTGGGTAGGTTGAAGACAATGGGAAAGCAAATGCATATTTTTCAAGCGTATATCACATTTATCAATCAGTTTCAACACCAGGTGAACATCTAAAGAGATTAGTTTACAAGAGTTTCAGCTATTTTATGTCTTAACGTATTGCATTCCAAACTCAATGATGAGCAATAGTTGGTTTGAGAATTCTTTTCTTAAAAATATAAAGCAGGTTTTTACAATGCCAGGTAAGTGGACCATATGTCCAGTGACTGGTGGATCATTTCAAATAGCACATCTCTTTGGCTGTTCTCAACAGACCATACTCAACTTATACAGTCATGGAGTGAGTGTCATACAGCATGGAAACAGACCATTTGGTCCAACTTGTCCATGCTGACCAGGTTTCCCGAACTAAAACTAGTCCACCATTTGCCTTGCGCTTGCAAAAACTAAAAACATAGTGTCCAACTTTAGATGTAATCCCATAATTGGGCAAAACTGGAATACTGCAAGTGTCAATAATTATACCAAAGGCTCATACAATATGGCTCACTTACACTTGGTAGAAGCTACATTTATTCGTAAGCAAGGACCTGTCCTCTGCAGGAGAAAGGAATTTGACTAGGCTTTGTGCCTTATCAACTTAAAAGCTAGAATGGACACTTTTCTGTGGTGGCTTCCCATTGCATTACTCAACCAGAGTCCACTTGCCAGCCAATTAGCACTCTGTTTCTTGGGCAGAACAATTTGCTTACTTGCTTTGAAATTTGCTATTCTTGCATTTGCCCTGATTTGTGGAAGATGAAAAGCTTCAGTAACACATCTCTTTTCAGCATCACCATAAAAAGTTATTTCAATAGATCTGTAATTTATGGTCTGGCACCAGAAAATGACTATGGAAGCAGCCAAAGTAAGGAATTTTAAAAACTGGAAGGATTAAATAATGCTCATCTCTATCTACCTGGTGTGTGTGCAATTCCAATCTCACAGTATGTGCTTGACTTAATATCTTTCTTTTGGAAGGGGCAGGGGGCACGGATTGCACAGCAAGATCAACACAATAAATACAATCTTGCCTTGCATCTACACACCAATTAAAGTTATTCATACTGAACTTTTTTAAACTATTCATGTTTACTTACCCAGGTTAGGTGCACTAGCTGTTCGCTTGCTACCTCTGATCTTGAAGAATCCACGGCCAAAAGAAGCTCTGGCTTTTTTTGAGGCTGCACTTTCATCATCCAGCGAATTCTGATGTCCATTTGGTGGCTTTGGTGGCAGAGATGCAAGCTTACTAATCTCCATACATGCTTTATTCTAGATGAATTTAATGGTACACTTTAGTTCCTAGGATATTTTGCATCTGTAGAACTATTAAGTTTTCATCAGAATAGATGTTAGGAAATTTAAGCAATTTTACTGAGTAGTATTTGATTCCCAAAAGCTTGCATTTTACAATAAAACAGGATTCTCCAGAACATGAAAATCATCAAATCATCTCTTCTATCTATTGAAAATGCCAAAATACTACAAAATGGATCATTCTAAACTAGGCTACTTGGGTTAAAAGGAACTGTATACCTGGGAGATGACACATGCCAATTTAAAAGTAATTTCTAGGACAAGGGTTTAAAGCCTTTTCAGCCTGCTGAAACAACGTGCCTGATAAATGCACAAACATTAACATGAAGGATGTCTGTATTAGGCTCAGTGGAGCTATAATGGGGCAAAGGAGAGATAAGATAGCCTGATGGTTGTGGTATTGGACATATTGTGAAGTTCAATTCAATTTTCCGGTAATTTTATGGCCAGCTAGGAGAGATATCAAGTAATAATCCTGAGACAGATGAATGGAAGGTCCAGGTTGGAAGTATAGTTGGGAACTAGACAAATAGGTTCGCTGAGTCCATGGTGCAAAAATAAATCCAGCATGAAGAATTTATGGACACCAGGAATGCAAATGGGGCTGATGAGGAAAATTTTGATCACAGTGGGGAGAGGATTTGAGCAGCACAGTGCTTAATTAGCTACAGTTTATACACAGAGTGAAGGGAGGAAGCCTATATTGGCAGCACTATAAAGCTGGAAGTTACAGCAAAAGTGGCATTAACATATGGTAAAAGTGAACAATGCTCCAATGATGAAAGATGGGTCATGATTTTGGAAGAATAGCACCAACTTCAACAAAAACCACTCTGCCCTCACCAGAAGCAATAGTTAACGTCTTCCACTATAATTAATTCAACTTTATTTTACTAGCATAAGTGGACCTGTTAGGCAATAACAAAACTTTCACATGTACACTGTAGTAGCAAATCATGAAAATGGTTACAGAAGAACAAAAGGAGTAGAAACAAGATGAAGTAAAAGTGCTTCTAGCATGGAGATCGCTGTACTTTAAAATAAGGGAGCCCTATGCATGTTCAAATTTGAAACATACATATTTGAAAAATAACTTCCTTCTGAAACAAATTCCCGCTCAGTTGCCTGGATGATGAGAAACTATTCCGCAGCAAGCCAGGTTAAGTCAATCAGTAGTGCTGGTATTGTCCAATTTAATGTTATGGTTCAATTAAAGTAAATAATATGAAAATTTCACTTTAAAAATGCCACCTGCAATTACAGATCATTATTTTTTAAGTAGTTCAAAAATGAAGATACATATTCTTGACTGCAAGGCATTTTTTCTCAAGTAAAATACTTTGGACATCTTCCATAAAAGTGCAATCTTGGTTCGCAATCTTTAACGAAGATCTCTTGATCTCTATCAAATACTAAGATTCCAAATACAGTTCTGGAATGCTTATAAAGCGCCAAATCAACTCTAATTGTTAATGGTAATACTGACCACAGCAATGCAAAACCACCTGTCTTAGGACAAGCTCAAAAATAAATTACAGCTAAATGGGATGAAACAGATCATTTTCCACCCAGTTAACAGAAACGTTGACAGCTAACCTTAATCAAGAGCAAAATGTTCCCTGCCAGCTGAAAATATAATAGTTGGAGACAGAAAGGGAAGAGAAGAGAAAAAAGTCAACATTAGAACAGTACGAAATGGCCCTACATCATCAATTGGGTGTAAAATATATAAGGTACGTAATCTTCTAGCTGATTATCAATTTACATCTGGAAATTATTAATACTACAGCAATTAACAGTTCAGATATATACATGATTTTAATAAAAACAAGATCATTGGTTTTGTCTAAACAATCTGATAGCTGTTACAGAATTATCAGATTTACAACAGTCTAGATCACCGCTGGGACCTCTGTCCCAACAAGTGCTTTTTTTACAAAAAAAGCCAGAACATTGAAATTGTACCTCTATTGGGCTCTGAACAGGTTCCAGAGATAATTTCTGTTCAAAGACAAAGGTAACAAATTTAAATATTGTAAGGTAATAAAGGAGGTTGCTGAGGCTACAGTTGGCACTACAATAAGCATTAATATTTTTCTGGTTTAAACCATGAGACTAAATGGTGAAACTAAACAAACCTTGTTCTCCTCTTCCGTCCTCAGGTTCTCCTGACTGCCAAACTTGTGTACTTCTGACAATCTGTAATAAAATAGTTGTGAGGATGTTTCAGTTCATAGCATCATCATCCAAACTAAGCTCCAAATCTATGGGCTCACAAATAGAGAAAATATTGAAGTAAATAGAAACAGAGAATGCTTAAAATACTCAGCAGGTCTAACAGCATCTATGAAGAGAAACAAAATTTAACATGTTTAGGTCTGTGAGCCAAGATGCTGCAAGATCTGCTAAGCATTTCCGTTGTAATACAACAGTGGGGCCGAGCCCCTGGAAAAGAACTTCATGCCAATTAGTGGAACAGGCATATTCCTTTATCAAATTATATAGCCATTGTTCAGCTAAATATTGTCTGTCATTTATTTTTGAATAAAATGGAGGCCATCGAGAAAGGATTAATTTAATGCATCTATACTAGAAGTTTGATTTTTCAACAGTTACATTGTCACATTAGGCGGGAGTTATTTATCTTGAAGGATATCGATAGAGAAAACAGATTTCTGACATTTGAATTCTGGAGCCGATTAGGGTCTATTCCATTCTTAAACGGGAACAGAAGCTGATAAACAGACAATATAGGAGCAGTAGTAGATCATTCGGTCCTTCAAGCCTGCTCTGCCATTCCGCAGGATCACGGCTGATTTCTTTGCGTTTAGAATTCCACCTTCTCATTTACTTCAATAACCCTTGATTCCCCTGCTTAAAAGGGGATATCCACTGACTTGCATCTGCCTTCCGAGTCAAAGTGTTCCAAGTTGGACAACCCTCAACAAAAAAAAAAAATCTTTTCTAACAGGCAACCTCAATTTTGTTTTAAAGTAAACTACTACTCCATAGTTCTGCACCTGAACATCTTTTTTTCAAACTTCACTTTCACAGGATCATTTAGGGTTGTATACGCTTCAATCAAGTATTCAATATTTAGGAAGGACAGACAAAAAGGAAAAGGTGGAGTTACATTTCTGAGTAAAGTTGATATAAATATAACATTGTCCGAGCTATTAACTTTCTTCAATGTAGAATCCGTGTTTGCAGAATTGCTAAAAACAAAGGGGCAAAAAACATTGCTGGGTGTGGTATAAGGAACAATCAATCTGCAATGATGTTGGGAGTGGTATTAAAAAGGAAATCAGATGCATGAGTTAAAAGTACATCTGTAATTATGGGTGACTTTAATCTGGATGTAGATTGGACAAATCAAATTAGTTATAATACCACACAGGCACCAACTAGAAAACAGGCCATATCTTTGTTCTGAAGGGGAGTCACTGGACCCGAAACATTAACTCTGTTTTTTCTTCATAGACACTGCCAGACCTGCTGAACTTTTCCAGCAACTTTGTTTTTGTTTGTGTTGTTTAGGCCATCTCTTGGACTGGGTATTTTAATGAGAAAGGAACAACTGGTAATATAGTTGTAAGAGACCATAATTAAGATTGAATTCTTCATCAATATGAAGAGAGAGACAGTTGATTCTGAATCTTAATAAAGACAAGTACAAAAGTATGAAGTGTGAGTTGGCGATGATAGATTGAGAAGTGTTACTTAAAGGAATGACAGTGCACAGGCTGTCAAAGAACAAATGAATGAACTATACAAAGTGTATATTCCTGTCCAGTACAAGAGTACAAAGACAGCAAGGTTTAAGAGGAATGTTAGAGATAGAATTAGATGCAAAAAAAACATACCAATTGGCAAGAAAAGCCCAGGATTGGAACAGTTTAGAAGTCAGCAAACGAAGACAAAAGTTTTGATTAAGAGGAAAAAAAAGTATGAGTAAGCTTGCTGTGAACATCAGAACTGACTGTAAAAGTTTCTATAGGTATGTAAAGAGAATATACTCAGCAAAAACTAATGTAGACCCCTTACAGTCAAATTGGGGAAATTTACAATGGACAGCAAAAATGGCTGACAAACTAAATTCAAAGTCTGCTTCTGTCTTCACAAAGGAGGACAGTAATAACATACCAGAAACGATGGGGAACACAGGGTTGAGAGAGAGGGAGAAGCTGAAGCAAATCTGTATTAGTAGAGAAATGCTGCTGGAGAAACTTTTGGGATTGAAAGGCCGATAAATCCCCAGGGCTTGATAAACTACATCAGAGTACCTAAGGAAGTGCTCCCACAAATAACACATACATCGATGGTCATCTTCCAAGATTCTGTGATTCTGGAACAGATCCTACAGATTGGAGGAGAGTTAATGCAACCCCACTGTTTAAAATGGGTGATAAGGAGAAAACAGGGAATTACAAACAGTGAGTCTGACATCGGTAGGGGGAAGATGATATAGTCCATTATAAAATCCTTGATAACAGAGCACTGAGAAAAGACTGGTAGAATCAGACACAGTTAGCCTGGATTTATAAAAAGAAAATCATGCTTGACAAATCTATGGAACTCTTTGAGGATGTAACTAGAGTTGATCAGGGAGAGCCATTAAACACGGTTTATTTGGACTTTCAGGAGGCTTTTGGCAAAGGTTAATGAGTAAAATTAAAGCATATGTGATTGGGGGTAATGGATTGAGATGGATAGAAAATTGGTTAGAAGACAGGAAACAGAGTAGGAAGAAATGGCTTTTCTTCTTGAACGGGCAGGGAGCGACTAGTGGGTTTACAAAGAGATTGGTAATAGGACCCTAGCTATTCAAAATATATGTTAATGATTTAAATGAGGGAACTAAATGTAATCTCTCAAAATTTGCAGATGAGACAAAGTTGGGTAGAAGGGTGAGCTTTGAGAAGGATGCAGAGATGTTGCAGGGTGACTTGGATAGGCTTACAGAGTGGGTAAATGCGTGGCAGATGCAGTATAATTTGGAGAAATGTGAGGTTACCCACTTTGGTGGCAAAGATAGGAAGGTAGGTTATTTTAAATGTATGTACTCTTGAATGGCTGTAAATTGAGAAGGGAGACCTGGGTGTCCCTAGAGCATTAGTCACTGAAAGCAAACTGTATTTTGGCCTACCACTACACTACCACAGAAATTGGTGGAGGTCAAAACATGTATTTTCAAAGAAAGTAGATATAGTTCTTGAGGCTAAAGGGATACGAGAGAGGACTAGATTTGAGTACTGAGCTCAATGATCAGCAATGATCATATTGAATGGTGGAGGAGATTTTAGGGGTTGAATGGCGGAGGAGATTTTAGGGGTTGAATGGCCTACTCTTTGCTCTCATCTTCTATGTTGCTATGTAAGGGACCCCTCAACTCTTCTAAACACCACTGAAAATAGCATCTACTAGCCTTCTTGATTACATGTTGTACTGGTGTATTAATTCTCAAAACTCAAACTTGAAGCAGGGACCCTGGTTCGATTCCAGCTTGAGCAACTGTGTGGAGTTCGCACATTCTCGTGTCTACGTGGGTTTCCTCCGGGTGCTCCAGTTTCCTTTCACAGTCGAAGGATATGCAGGTTAGGTGGATTGGCCAAGCTAAATTGCCCATAGTGTCCTAGGATGTGCAGGCAGGATGGATTAGCCATGGGAAATGCAGGGTTATAGGGTAGGGGTTTGGGTCTGGGTGGAATGCTCTTTGGAGGGTCAGTGTGGACTTGGTGGACCAAATGGCCAGTTTCCACACTGTAGGGATTCTATGATATAAATGCTGCTGCACCTTAAATTTTTGCAGTCATTCTCAGTTTAAGTAATACTTTAACAACAGCTTAATCATTCTTCCTGCCAAAGAGAACAACTTCACATTTTCTTATTGTACTCGAGTTGGCAGACTTTTGCCCATTCTCTCAAAATGAAGTGGTGGGGGAGGAGGGCAGATCGAGATAATGGTTAAAAAGACAAATCAAATCCTCATGTCAAAAATAGAGGCATAGAATACCAAACGCAAGGAAGTTATGAAGAACCTTTAAAAAAACATTGGTTCTTCCTCAACTACACAATTACATTCAATTCTTCACATCACATTTTAGGAAGGATATGAAGGTAATAGGTAGCATGCTAAAAAGTTTTGAAAGAATGGTTACACAGATGAGGGACTTCAGTCACACTGCTCGATTGCAGAAGCTGGGCTTGCATATTAGGGTCACAGATGTACAGCATGGAAACAGACCCTTTGGTTCAACTCATCCATGCCAATCAGATATCGTAAATAAATCTAGTCCCATTTGTCAGCATTTGGCCCATATCCCTTTAAGTCACTCTTATTTATATACCCATCCAGATGCGTTTTAAATGTTGTAATCATACCAGTCTTCACCACTTCCTCTGGCAGCTTATTCCATACATGTACCATCCTCCATGTAAAAAAGTTGCCCCTTAGGTCCCTTTTAAATCTTTCCCGTCTCACCTTAAACCTATGCCCTCTAGTTTTGGACTCCCCCACCCTGGGGAAAAGATCCTGTCTATTTACCCTATCCATGCCAGTCATGATTTTATAAACCTCTACAAGGTCACCCCTCAGCCTTCGATGCTCCATGGAAAACAGTCCCAGTCTATTCAGCCTCTCCCTATAGCTTAAAACCACCAACCCTGACAATATCCTTGTGAATATTTTCTGAACCCTTTCAAGTTTCACAACATCCTTCCTATAGCAGGGTGACCAGAACTGCACACAGTATTCCAAAAGTGGCCTAACCAATGTCCTGTACAGCGACAACATTATCTCCCAACTCCTTTACTCAATGCATTTTCCAATAAAGGCAAGCATGCCAAATGCCTTTTTCACTATCCTATCTACCTGCAACTCCACTTTCAAGGAACTATGAACCTGCGCTCCTAGGACTCTTTGTTCAGCAACACTCCCCAGGACCTTGCCATTAAGTGTACAAGTTCTGCCCTGATTTGCTTTTCCAAAATGCAGCACCTCATTTTTATCTAAATTAAACTCCATCTGCCACTGTTTGGCCCATTGGCTTATCTGATTAAGATCCCATTGTGCTCCGAGGTAACCTTCTTCGCTGTCCACTACACCTCCAATTTTGGAGAGAAGAAATTGAGAGGAGGCTTGAGAATCATAGAATGTTAAACACTACAGGTTATTCAGACTGTTGCATTGTGTTGGCCCTCTGCAGTAGAAGATTACCTTTTAAAAATTTGCTCATGGGATGTGGGTATCACTAGTTCAGGAAGCATTTATTGACCATTCCTAATTACTTTGAAGGTGGTAATGGTTAGCTGCCATCTTGAACTGCTGCAGTCTCTGAAGTGTAGAGACACTCAATGTTGTTAGGGAGTTCCAAGATTTCAATGCAGGGACAATTAAACAATGATGATATTATTCCAAGTTAGAATCACGTGGACCTAGGAAGGGAACTTGCAGGTTGTGGTGCTGCCATGCACCTAGGTGACGGAGCTTATGAGTCTTGAAGGAGCTAATGAAGAAACCTTGGTGCGTTACTTCAGTGCTTTTTTTGTAGATGGTGCATTTAATTGTCATGGTGTGACTGTGGTGAAGGGAATGATTGGCAAAGGTGGTGAATGGGATGCCAAATAAGCAGGCTGATTTGACCTAATGGATTTCCAGAGTTGTTGGAACTCTATTCATTCAAGCAACTACTGACTATTCCATCCCTGCAGGCCTTGTATATGGGGAGACAAGTGGCGAGTCCCTGATATGCTCCTGTAATCACTGCATTTATATGGCAGGTCCAGTTCAGTATCTGATCAATGTTAACCTTTAAGATGGTGACAGTGGGGACTCGGTGATAGTAATGTCACTGATCAATCAAGGTGCGATGGATGGATTCTCTTTTGCTGGAGATAGTAACTGACTGGCACTTGTGGTAAGCATGTTGCATGTCACATGTCACATATTAGCCTAAGCCTAGATGTCACTCAGGTCGTTTAGTGAATGGACACACATTGCTTCAGTACCCTATGGAGTTGAATGGTGCTGAACATTGTAGAATCATGGGCGAACATCCTCACTTCTGATCTTATGATGGAAGGAAGGTCATTGATGAAGCAGCAAAGCTGGCTGGTTGAAGACACCACTTTCAGGAACTCTTGCAGTGACATCCCACTCCTCTGCTATTTCCCCCCTAAAAGCCCTGCAACATTTTCTATTTAGAGGATAATTCAATGCTCGTTTGAAATCCATGATAGAACCTGCTTCCAGCATACATTCAGGCTTCAGGATGTCAATGACTTTCAATTTGCCAATGATTACTATTATCAAATCTTAACCCTTTTGCCTTGTTTATTCTTCAAACTCCGAGGCAGCTAGTAACAAATCTCCTTAGGATTTTGGGGAACAAGGAAACATTGATTCAATTGACCAAGGGGTCAGGAACCAGAGGTCGGCAATTTAAGAATCTATTGGTTATGATATAGAGAATGTATTGCTTCAGAGTACAGTGGAGGCAGATTCAATTGTGAATTTCTAGAGGAAATAGCATAAGTACCTGAAGAGGGGGGGGAAAAGTTGCAAGAATAATCAGGAAAGGGCAGAGGGCTGGATGTAGCTAAAAGCTGTTTTGCAGAGTTGACATGGACTTGCTAGGGCTGACTGGCATCTTTCTGCGCTGTGTTCATTCCATATTATGACTTTTCTACATTTAAGCAGGCAAGACCTGAATGCGCTTTAAGTGCAGCATTATTATATAATTTTTCTTAGATACATCTTTAAAAACAAAAGACCTCAGAAGTCCTGTTAATAAACTCAAATGTAACAGTGTATCACCTCCACATAAGCTTCTCATCAGGCAGGTAGACAGTTTATAACATTGAATGAAAAATCAGATTGAAACAACCTGTAAAATTTATTTGTCTTAATTATCTAACAGGACTGCTGTGAAAAGATCTTGCATTTGTATCATACTTACATAGGACTGTCACATATGACAGTTTCTTCAATTAATGAAGAGATATCACTTGACTGTATTTCACTGTAGTAAAATGTAAATTTACATCTGGTTACATTGTACAAATTTGCACATTTTCTTAGAAAAAAACATCACTAACTACCAATGCTCTAAAGGTAGCTAAATTAGCTCCAAATTCATCCATAAACATATATTTTTGAATAATAAATAGAATGGTTAGGTATTCAAGTTAGTCTCTAAATTATGCTGTTGACTTGGTAAGTTATTTTAACGATACTGGACTGCATTTTTTGAGTGGCAATCTCGCACTGATTGCCACTCTGGCCCGTCTTTTTTTTTTAAACAAGAGGAGGGAGCTCCACATTCACTGCAGGAGATTCTGACCAAGGTTCTTTCATAAATGTGGAGCAGTTCTTCCATTCTGACAGTTTTTTTCATACTGCAGAATTGCCAGGGAAAAAACAAATCATACCCTCCTTTTCACAGAAGTCAGCGGATGCATTCTGACAATTAAGAGTCCTGACAACCATGGTCAAACACTAAGTAAATAGTTAAGATGTTAGGGGGCTGGGGCAGATGGAAAAGGTGCCAGGTGGGCAGGGGACTGGTTTCCAGATGGGTAGGGTGACAGATGAGTACGAAGTAGGATGCAAGCTAGGGAGGGGAGCATGTCGGAAGGTGATAGGGTGCTAAGTGGCAAGGTAAATGACAGTCGATTGGGTTTAGGTTGGGAGGGAGAGACTGTACAGTAGAATTTTTTAACTTCCATGCAAATTCCTTTGGAGTCAGCTACAACTGAGATTCTGCAGGGTGCTTATGTGAAACTCTGTCTAAGCTGGACACAGGAAAATCTGAGCCATTATGTTATTTGCCTGATACTCAAATATATATCTTCATATCATATAGAATGTCAATCACAGTCTTTAAAGTGTCACAGTTACACTCAACCTTCTAAAGTTGGCAAAAAAGCTAAATTGTGATTTACCCAACATCAGATGTTGTTTCAACTTCAGGCTCCATCTTCTTATCTACCTGTGGAGCATGAGTCTTAGGAGTAGATGAAACTATTGGAATTGGCACTTGAAGGATGCTAGTGTGGATTTCAACTGGCTCCTAAGAAAAAAATGAGCAAATGATGTACTTTTCAGCCATTGCATTCTTTTAACAAAATAAAAACAAACAACTTTGGTTGCTGGAGATCCAAAACCAAACCATATTGCTGGTGAAACTCAGCAGCTTTGGCAGCATCTACAGGGAGAAAGCAGAGTTAACATCTCAAGTCTGGTGACTTCTGAAGTTTGTGCGCTTGTGTATTTGAACATAAAATTCGGCAGATGGACAGAGCTTTTCCAGCAACTTTCTTTTTGTTCCTTCAAAGTATAGTGTGTGCAGGAGTTGCCTGTAAAAGGAAATCAGGAGGGCAGAGGGGTCACGAAATATCTTTGGCAGAAAGGATCAGGGAAATCCCCAACGCTTTTTCTAAGTATATTAAAAGTAAAATAATTACCAGGTAAAGAGGGGGACCTATTAGAGACCAAAGGGACAATCTATGCATGGAGCTGGTGGATTCAGAGAAGAATCATATTGTCGCTGGGGATTTCGGCTGGGATGGCGAGATTCCAGAACATAAGAATTAGTGCTAGATTAATAATGAATAATAATTAATTAGTAATGTTTTAGCAGACATACAGGTGCATAAATCCCTTGTACATTATGAGATGTATCCCAGACTTCTATGGGCCCTGACAGATATAGTTAATACTTACCGACAATAGGTGAAGTGCCAGATGACTGGAGGATTGCTAATCATAGAATCCCTACAGTGTGGAAAGAGGCCATGCCGTCAGTCAAATCCAAACCAACCCTCCCAAAAGCATTCCACCCTGCTCCAGGCCCACCCTATGCAGTAACCCCACATATTACCATGGCTAATCCACCTCCTGGACAATTTAGCATGGTCTAACTGGCACATCTTTGGGCTGTGGGAGGGAACCGGAGCACCTGGAGGAAACCCATTCCAACACAGGGAGAACATGCAAAATATGCACAGTGAGCCGAGGATGGAATTGAACACAGGTTCTTGGTGCTTTGAGGCAGCAGTGCTAACTGGAGTCATCATGTAGGACATTCCTTTGTTCAAGGAGGGCAGCAGGGGTAGGCCAAGAAATTACAGACCAGTTGGCCTCATGCCAGTGGTAGGGAAATTATTGGAAAATATTCTGAACGACAGGATTAATCAATACTTGGAAAGACTAAGATTGATCAGAGATAGACAACAGAAACTCGTTAGAGGGAGATCCTATCTGATTAATTTAATTGAGGTTTTGGAAAGGTTAGTAAATATCTTGATGACGGCAGTGCAGTTCATGAGATTTACATGGACTTTAGTAATGCCTTTGATAATGTTCCACATAGAAGGCTGGTCCAAAAGAGACAAACCCATGGGGACCCAAGACAAATTGGCAAACTGGATCCAAAATTGGTCTACAAAGAGGAGAAAAGGTTGATGGGGGAGGGATGCTTTTGGAATTGGAAGCCTGTGACCAACAGTGTACCATAGGGATCAGTGCTGAGACCCTTGCTGTTTGTTATTTACATTAGATATGAATATAGAAGGTTTAATTAGTAAGTTTGCAAATGACATGAAAATTGGTGGTGGTGGTGGTGTTAGTGAAGAGGGCGGTCTCAAACTGCAGTCCGATAATGATTAGCTGGTAAATTGGACAGAACAATGCCAGATAGAATTTAACCCCACTAAGTGTGAGGTGATGCATTTTGGGAGGTCTAATAAGGGAAGGACGTGCACAATGAATGGTAGGACCCAAGGGAGTAGAAAGGAACAAGAGGACTTTAGTGCACAAGTTCACAGATCCTTAAAGGTGTCAAAGATGGGGAGGATGGAAAAGATGGCATGTGGGCTGCTTGCCTTCATTAACTGGGGCGTAGAATATGGCAGCAAGGAAGTCTTGTTACAAGTCTTATTTCAAAAACAGCGGTTAGGCCACAGATGGAATACTGTGTGCAGTCCTGGTCGCCACACTATCAGTAGGGGATGATTGCGCTGGAGGGTGGGGGAGAGGATTCACCAGGATGTTGTCAGGGATGAAAAGTCTCAGTTGTGAGGAGAGACTGGATAGACAGTTTGTTTTCCTTGGAGCAAAGGCGGCCAAGGGGGCAACCTGATTGAGGTAATCAAAATTATGAGGCGCATTGACAGAGTTGATTGAGAGAATCTCTTCCCCACAGCAGATATGTCTAAGACCAGACAGCATATGTTTAAGGTGAGAAGTAAGTGATTTTGAGGAGATCTGAGAACATGTTTTACCCACCCAGAGCGTGATAAATATATGGAACACGCTGCTTGAGAGGATGGTGGAGGCAGGTAGTCTTGCATCCGGATGAGTACTTTAAATAAGGGGCATAGTCAGCTATGGATCAAATTGCAGGTCATTGGGATTAGTGTAGCTTGGTGTTTGATGGTCAGCATAGACATGGTGAAGGGCCTATTTCTATGCTGTATAACTCCATAACTTGAAAGAAAATTTTACTCTAGAAACACTTAATATAAAGGAGCTAAGTGCCTTGACTTCTTCAGTACCCAAGTACTGTAAAGAATTTGTATATGTTTCTTACAGAATACATTTTAAATTTAAACTTGTTCTTTGATGCAAGGGAATACGGTTGGAAGAAAGACTGGGATTTTTCCCCAAATGCTGAAGAATCCAACAACCAGTGTACTAAAACAGGGTTGGAAAAGCACATAGGAATTTTGGTAGTTACTTCTTTTCAGTTTATTAAGGTACAAGAGCAAAGCCTGCGTAGAAGATTGCATTCTCATGTCTTCTATCCAAGTTTACCAGTCTCCAATTACAAGTATGGAATTACATCTGCTCATTCACCTAACCTGCAGAAGCCCCTTTATGCAATCACTTATCACCGGTTACAGCACTCAACAATCATCTGAAAGCAGCATGGAGACAATATTTTACCTTCACTAACAAAATACAGTAGTAAAACAACAGTGCAGTCAACATCCATCCCAATGAGATGTCACTGACAATGCACTTTGATACCTCCCTCCCAGATATCACTACCCTTTGCTGTCGGCTTAGTACATGGATTAGAATGTGGCACTATTATTACACCAAATATACAAACGCAGCAAGTTTACAAATTCCATGTCACAAAGTGACTTCTTCCACAGTTTTATTCTGTCATATTCATTAGTTTCAAATACGCTGGAAGGTTAGTTGCAAGCTGCCGTCTCACAATTCCTGGTGCCCTGACATTCCACAAACAACACACACTCTTAGGAGAGAATCTGGTAACAGTTCTGCTTTTAAATCCACACTACTTCACCAAGGCCCATTAAAAGAAAATGAATCTGAAGCATGCTTCAAACTGGAGCATAACTATACCAATTAACTTACTGCTGCTGGGGTTGGTGCAGTAGAAGAACCCAATTCCATTTCCACGGTATCACTTATGTTAACTCCAACAGATCCCCCATTGAGGCTTTCGTCACTGTCACCTTCTTTCACTACAGCAGCAGAACAATCAGAGTTTGGAAAGAAATATTAACTTTTCTTTCATTGTTGATGCCATGATAATAACAAGTTTTTCACATTGGAAAAAACACCACTCTTAATTTTGATTCCACATCTTTTATTATTTACAATAGTTGGTACAGTTAGCAATAGTAAGTAAACTTATTTATATTTGGAAAAGATTCATATTATTTAGCAGTGTCAAAATTACAAAATTCTCCTAAATGCTTTAATCCCAGTATTAGCAAAGAGAAACACACAAATTTCTTTACTATTTAAAATATATTAGTTTTTATTTCTGATTGAAGGAAAACATTCTTAATGTTTCACTTTGAATTTACTAATAGCAGAACCATATGCACTAGTGCATCAAAGTACAGGGTAGCACAACAACAAACTAGTTACTGGCTAAGTAAAAGGTAGGCAAGAGAATAGAGTTAATACCAACAGCCACAGGCAAGGTGCCAGAAGAATGGACATTGGCTAACGCGGTGCCATTGTTTAAGAAAGATGGTAAAGAAAAGCCAGGGAATTATGAACCAGTGAGCCTGACATTAGCGGTGGGCAAGTCAATGGAGATTCTGACAGACAGGATTTACATGTGGTTGGAAAGGCAAAGGCTGATTAGGGATAGTCAACATGACTGTGTGTGGGAAATTGTGTGCCACTAACTTGAATGAGTTTTTGAAGTGACAAAGAGGACTGAAGAGCAGTGGACGTGATCTATATGTACTTCAGTAAGGTGTTTGACAAGGTTCCACATTGTAGACTGGTTAACAAGTTAGATCACATGGAATACAGGGAGAACTAGCCATTTGGATACATAACTGGCTTGAGGGTTGGAGACAAAGGGCGGTGGTGGAGAGTTACCTTTCAGACTGGAGACTTGTGACCAGCGGTGTGCCACAAGGATCGCTGCTGGGTCCACTGGTTTTTGTCATTTCTATAAATGATTTAGATGTGAAAATATAGGAGGTATGGGTAGTAAGTTTGCAAATAACACCAAAATTGGTTGCTTAGCGGACACTGAAAAAGGTTACCTCAGTACAACGAGACCTTGATCAGATGGGTCAAGAAGCGGCAGATAGTGTTTAATTTAGATAAATGTGAGGTGCTGCATTTGATATGGCAAATCAGGGCAGGACTTCTACACTTACTGGCAAGGTCCTGGGGAGTGTTGCTGAGCAGGGACCTTGGGTGCACGTTCATAGTTCCTCGAAAGTGGAGTCGCAGGTAGACAGGATAATGGAGACGGCATTTTGTATGCGTGCCTTTATTGGTCAGTTGAATTAAATTGAATACAGGAGTTGGGAGGTCATGTTGCAGTTGTATAGGACATTGGTTATGCCATTTTATGAATACTGCATTCAATTCTGGTCTCCCATACAAAAGATAACGTAAAACTTGAAAAGATTTACAAGGATGTTGCCAGGGTTGGAGGGGTTTCAGCCAGAGGGACAGACTGAGTAGGCTGCGACTATTTTCCCTGGAGCATGGGAGGCTGACGGACAACCTTATAGAAGTTTATAAAGTCATGAGGGCCATGGGCAAGGTGCAGAGTCAAGGTCTTTTCCCCAGGCGAGGGGAGTCCAAAAGTAGAGGGCATAGGTTTAAGGTGACAGGGGAAAGATTTAAAAGGAACCTAATGGACAACTTTTTCATGCGGAGGGTGATGTGTGTGAGGAATTTGCTGCCAGAGGAAGCGATAGAGGTTGGTACGATTACACCATTCAAAAGGCATCTGGACGGGTATATGAATAGGATGGGTTTAAAGGGATATTGGCCAAATGCTTGAAAATACGACTAGATTATCTGCTTGGCATGGATGTTTTGGACTGATGGGGTTGTTTCCATACTGTACATCTCTACGACTGCTTTGGTGGTGATAAGACAAGATCACTAAAATCTTGTATGCAATCACCACAAGTAAACAAAAGGCTAATGGTATCTCAAAAGGGGGATTGGAATCTAAAGTGAGGAAGTGATGTTCCAAATGTAAACAGCCTTGGTGAGACCCCATCTGAGTACTATACTCAATTTTGGGCATTGTTTGTCAGGAATGATAAGACCTTGTCAACAAGATAGCACAGGTTCAACAGAATGATGGAATTAAATTATGAGGAGGGGGGGTCACATGAACATGGTTGGCGTATCCTTGATTTTAGGCCTTTGAAAGGTGTTCTAATCAAAGTGTATAACATGATTAACTTGCAAACGGAGGCGCATGGAAATTCCTCTCTGTTGAGAGAATCAAAAACAAGACAGTATTGTAGCAAGTTCTTCAGAAATGAAACTAGGAAGCACCTTTCTCTGCACAAAGGATAGTGCAAATCTGGAATCCTTCTCTATCTCAACACCACCCCCTCCCCCCATTCAAACCTGTGTCTGGAGAAAGACAGATGGGCTCAATATCTTACATTTCTTTTCAGTGTGAGTTTTTTTTTTAAAAAAGGGGTGAGGTGAGAGGTCAAGGAAACAGGATAGATAGAATATTCAGCTAAAATTCTGGACATTATCCTGTACCCCCTTCTCAAAGCCTGCACATGAACATCTGATGAGGGTGCAAGAGGTGAAAGATCTGGTCTAGCATTCATGAGCACAAAAAGATAGTCTACTTGGTCTTCAGCAGGCATTTGATTAGATCCCACATGGGAGACTGACAGCAGAGGTAAAAGCCCACGGGATCCAAGGAAAGTTGGCAAAGTGGATTGAGAATTGGCTGAGAAGCAGAAAGCAGAAGTTGATGGTCAAGGGGTGTCTTTGTGACTGAATGCCTGTGTCCAGTGGGGTCCCACAGGAATCAGTGTTGTGGTCCTCACTGATTGCAGTACGTAAGTGATTTAGACTTCAATGTAGGAGGGTTGACCAGTAAGTTCACAGATGATACAAAAATTGTTGGGAGGGCAAATAGGAAGACAGCCTTAGATTACTGCAGGATATATACAGACAGGCTAGCCAGTTATCTGATCAGTAGCAAATGAAACTCAATCCTGACAAGTTTAAGGTGATGAGTTTGAATAGGAAACAACTCCAACCTATTAAATGTTGAACAGTCGGACCTTGGATCATCATCAAGGATCAGAGAGACCTTGGTGCACATGTCCAACAGTCTATTAAGGTAGCAGGACAGGTAAATAAAGTGGTTAATGCTTATGGGATACTTGCCTTTATTAGCCAAGGCATAGCAGGGAGGTTGTGTCGAATCTGTATAAAATATTGGTTAGGCCATAGCTAGATTACTGTGTACAGTTTTGGAATCAACATTATAGAAGAGACATATTTGCACTGAACAGGGTACAGAGGGCATTTACCAAGATGGCGCTGAGCTGGAAAGTTTCGGTTATGAAGAGACAGATTTAATAGGTTGGAGTCGTTTCCTTGGTGCCGGGGAGGGTGGGGGTGATGATCAAGGGGCATATAGACGATAAACAAGAAGATCCTTTCCCCTTGGTGGAAGGATCAATCATGAGGGGGCACAGATTTAAGGCAAGGGGCAGGAAATTTAGAGAAGATGAGAGGAAAATCTTTTTCACCCAGAAGGTGGTGGGAATTTGGAACTCACTATCTGAAAGAATGGTAGAAGCAGAAAACCTTGTAACATTTAGGAAGTATTTAGATGCACACCTGCAATGTCAAGACATACAATATAATGGAATATGGGATGAGAATAGTTTTTGACAGATACAGATGTAATGGGCCAAAGGGCCTTTTTCTTTCTGTAGACCTGTATGATTATCACACGAGCTTTCTCTGCCCAGCCTACATACAGTTTGTTCAGTTGAGGCTCTGAAGGGTTATTCATATGCATAGTACCTGAAGTCAACACCAGAAAATAAATGTAAAAGTATTGCCCTCAAGGCTACGCTTTTCTGATCATATTAAATTTGCATCCTACGTCTTTTAAAAAAAAAGATGAGCAATGCAACTTTTTGAATTGAAGATTTCCAAAAAATATTCTCTCACATTTTAATGTTCGCACTAAGTTCATAACTGAGGCAAACTTCCAGGTGTCAATGCTTTGCAACTGTCCCTATGGGAAATTAACTGGGGTAGGACCCAAGAATGAAAAAAGAAAGACCTTCATATGCACGTACCATCTTTTCAAGATAGTGTTTTGATCTTAGCCACTCTATGGACTGGTCATAAGTGTGAATCCATAATCCTACACATTCTCGTATATTACAGTACCACCAGATTTTGGATGGAGGGGAAAAGCTTAGGCTTTACCTAATGATTTTTTAAAAATTAGGTATCCCTGTAGCAATGCAAATGTAAAATATAATTACCTCACTATCCATATTGTTGGAGCAAAAGTTTGATTTAACCAAATACTTTAGATGCAACTTGCTGGTTGCAGATTCAACAATTTCAGAACATAATAATCCCACCTTTCTTATGAGCCACTGACATCACCATATCCTGCACCTTCTTGTACCTATTCAAGGACTGCCGCAATTCTTCTATCTTTCGATCCTTCAAAAAGGAAATACACTGAGAAGCAGTATATGCAAAACACTACAACATTTTCATCTTAGAAAAGTTCCACATCACAATCTAACACCAACAGAACTTCACGCCAGCAGGGAAATGTGCAAACTTCAGATATCATGAATTCTGAGACTTCCTCCTTTGGTCAAGTGCAAACTGCCATAATTCCGTGCTAGAGAACGCAGACAAAGGCACCCCCAAGGTTCACTGTCATAAAAACATTATGCCAATGGATTTGGATATATAGTTGCATTTCTGCAGTTATAAAATATTCAGTCAAGTCAAACTAAATTAACTCAAATGGGATTACAATCGGCTTTGGTTTAAGGTTTTCTTTTATCTTTACACTGCTTTAGATAATGTAATTTTAAATAATTAGGAGTTTGTAACAGATCAATGACACCAATGTCAAAATGAGTCAACTTACAGGTCTCATTCAGAACCACAGCTTGTTAGTATTTTCCAAAAGTTTATACATGCAAAAGATAAAGCACATCATCATAAAGGGTGGGAAAGGACACAGTTCAGAAATCTCCCCACCCAACTGCACTGAGATCACCATCTCTACATGGACTACAGTAGTTCAAAGCACCAAACACCTTTTGAAGGTGTAAGTAGGGATGGATAATAAATACTGACCTTGCCAGTGACACCCACAACCTATCAATTATTTGAAAAAATTAAATCAGAATAAAATCATAGGATCTACCTTCTCCTCATTTGCTGCCATCAGCGATTCAACTGCTTTCTTCATTTTATGCACTTCAAGATCTGAAAATAACAGGAATGACATTTAATATGGTACTTTTATACATTTTTATGCTATGTTGAATATTGAAACCATGCTGCCATGCCACACAAGGTACTTGCATTAAGAAAACACTATTAGTAACATTCTTCAAAAAGCGAAAAACGCCTTCCAACCATTGCTTTCTTATTTCTTTATTGAACACAAAGCCGTGCTGTATTAAGCCTTTAAACTCAAGTTAAACATGACATTAAAGAAAACCAAAAATGCTCAGAGTTCATGCTTTAAATACAATTCAAAAATACATACCTGCAAGTGCTTTTGACGCAATTGTGTTTTGAGCTTAGAAGGACGATAAATATTTCTATTCTATTCTGTTACAGTAGTTATGTATTTCCATTAGCACATTTTCAAATGCCTCTGTACTCCCAGTATGGGCATTTTATTTTTAATGAGGTGACAATGAAAATCAGGACGTTATTGCCTTAGCATAGTTAGGTTCAGCACAAGAGTGGAAACTAACACTGAAGGTTCAAAATTGAGGGTGCTGGACTGGAGAAAGGCAAAATTTTACAACATAACTGGATCTAGCCCAAAATAATTAAGTGAAGCTAACAAACAAGCTTATACATTGGAAGTGATTTGTGGCAGATCGCTTCCAGAGTTAGAGAACAGCACAAAATATTTAGTCCTAGATGGGTAAAGGAAATCTATTGAAAGAAGTTTTCCATGGTTAAAGAAAGAGATTAAAACTAAACTAAAAAAACTTAAAAAAGAGCATACATTATTGTAAGGAGTTTTATGAACAAAAATGCAAATGAACACGAAGAACAGGGATGAAAGAAGATTTAGCTGTGGAACATGAGGGTTTGACAGTAAGTATTCTGCACTAATTTTTCTTCTTGCAAATTAGGAAAATGAACAAAGCTTGAGATGGATGAATCACTCTGCTCTGATATTGCTGAAGTGTGAAAATTGTACGTTTGGAATAAGGAATAGCTGATGCAATAGTCTGGCTCAAAAAATGAAAGGATAAGCAGCCAGGCAACTACAGACCAGTGCATGATCTGTTAGAGGAAACTGTGGAATTTATTAATATAGATAAAATTAATAAGTATTTTGATCATATATAGCTACCACTTATTCAATAAAGGGAAAAATAACCAACTTAAAATTTTATTTTTATAAAGGACAGCAAGCATAACATGCAGAAATGAGAAATAGAGAATGGAGATGTAAAAGATGGAGGAAACAAGTCTAGATCACAATACAAATGAAACTGATTTTAAAAACTGTTATTCCAGGGCATCACATGAACCAGACATTTTAGTTCACTATATTCAGCAACTAAATTAGCAGAACTGGTCTTGGGGAAATTGTAGGAAGCCTTGGAATGAAGAAAGGCCATTTAAGCCATTCCAAACCGCAAGTATATTTGAAGAGCAAAGCCGTAGTTTTTGATCCCATCATTAACGTTGCATTCCTTGCCAAGGAATGCAAACATCAAAGACTTTCAGAACAGAATTGAGTGACAATGCTCCAAGATAAAAGTTAACACAAACAAACTTGCATATTCCTTTGTTGACTAACAAATATCACACTATCAGTTTTGCCAAACGTACTGTATGGTGAAGTTACCTATTAATTGCAGTGCAATGTAGTACAATTAGCAGCCATGCAAGGGTTTAAAATACAAAACAGCGCAAAAACAAAATCAGGACTCATCTGTAACCTTTAGCATGGAGTAACACGATTTGTTCACTAACCACTAGAAAAGGCTTATTTGGAAACTGCTATTTAGCGCCGTGAACCCAAAGAATATCTTTCTATTTTCAGATGCATCAAATATACAAGCATAAACAGGGTCATCAAGTCTGCTCCACCATTCAATCATGGTGGATATGTTTCTCAAACCCATTGTGTCTGTCATCCTTTGATCCCTTTACCAATCAAGAACCTGTCTTAAATACACTCAATGAATTAGCCTCCACAACCCTCTGTGGCAATGAGTTCCACAGATTAACAACCCTCTGTTGAAGAAATCTCTCCCCCTCAGTTCTATGCGTCCTCATCTGTCTTACAAGGTGGTATATCTTGTCCACTCCATTCAGGCTTCTCAGTATTCTGCAAGTTTCAGTGAGATTTCCCCTCATCCTTCCAAACACTGACTACAGACCCAGAGCCTTCAACTCTTCGTTCCTGGAATGATTCCTGTAAACCTCTTCTTGACCTCCTCCAATGCCAGCACATCCTTCCTTATATACAGGGCCCAAAACTGCTCGAAACATTCCAAATGCAGCCTGACCAGAGCCTGGTACAGCCTCAGCAGTTCTTATATTCTAACCCTCTTGAAGTGAATGCTCATTCTGCATTTGCCTTCCTAACTGCCACTGGACCTGCATTTAACCTTAACAGAATCCTGAACTAGAACTCAAATCCCTTCGCAGTTCAGATTTCAAAGTCTATTTAGAAAACATTCTACGCCTCTGTTCTTCTGACCAAAGTGCAAAGCTTCACATATTCCCAAATTATATTCCATCCGCTACTTTTCTTTTTTAAAAACCTGCTCTCCTCGTCCAAGTCCCTCTGCAGCCTCCCCACTTCCTCAACACTATTCACCCCTCGATCTAACTGTGATATCTGCAAACTTAGCAGCAAAGTCCTCAGTTCCTTCATCCAGATTGTTAATGTATAACATGAATTGTTGTGGTCCCAATACAGATCCCTGCGCAACTTAACTCGTCACTGGCTGCAATCATGATAAAGACCTCTTTAGGCCTACTCTCTGCCTCCTGCCAGTCAGCCAATCTTTTATCCGTGCCAGTTCCTTGCCCCTAACACTATGGTCTCATCTTATTTAGCAGTCAGCTGTGTGGCACCTTGTCAAAGGCCTTCTGGAAATCCAAAGAGATCACGTCCACTAACTCTCCTTTGTCTAACTTGCTTATTACCTCCTCTAAACAGATTTGTGAGGCATGACCTCCTCTTGACGAAACTGTGTTGACTCCAAGTATTCTGCAATCTCATTCTCAATAATGGATTCAAAAATCGTACCAAGTCCTGAAAGATCATCAATGTCTCTACAATCTTCTCAGCTATTGCCTTCAGAGCTCCAGGTTGTAGTCTCTCTGGTCTGGGTGATTAATCCACCTTCAAACCTTCCAGTTTTTCTTTCTCCTTGGTGATGGCCATCATACTCACCTCTGATCCCACTCTCAAATTCTGGTATGCTGCTGATGTCTTGTAATGTGAAAACTGATGCAAAGTACCTGTTCAGTTCTTCCACCATTACTTTGTTCCCTATTACTACTTTTCCAGCCTCATTTTCCAGCGGTCCAATGTCCATTCTTGCTTCTTTCTTACCTTTTAGATATCTAAAATAACTCCTGCTATCTTCTTTTATATTACTAGCTAGTTTACCCTCATATTTCATCCTCTGTCTCCTTATTGCATTAAATTATCAAATAAAAACCGAAAGAACTGTGGATGCTGTAAATCAGGAACAAAAACTCAACTGTGTTCGGAGCAAGGGTCACCGGACCCAAAATGTTAACTGATTTTTTTTCTTCACAGATGCTGCCAGACCTGCTGAGCTTTTCCAGCAACTTTTATTTTTGTTCCTGCATTAAATTATTCTCTGCAGGTTTTTAAAGGCTTCCCAATCCTCTAGCTTCCCACTAATTTTTACCACATTGTATGCTTTTGCTTTTATGATGTCCCTGACTTCTCATCAGCCACGGTTGCCTCATCCTCCACTTAATACGCTTCTTCTTCCTTGGGATAAATTTCTGCTGTGCCTCCCAAATTACCCCAAAAACTCCTGCCATTGCTGTTCCACTGTCATCCCTGTTAGTCCCCCCCTTTCAATCAACTCTGGCCAGCTCCTCCCCCATTCCTTAGTTAGCTTTACTCAAATTATAATATTGTTACATCTAATCCAGCTTCTGCATCTCAAATTGCAGGGTAATTTCTATCAAATGATGGTCACTGACCCGTACAGCTCCATTACCTTAAACTGCCTCCTTACACATCATCAAATCTGAGGCATAAACAGAGTACTTATGCAATTATTCTTCACTTTCCTTCCTGCTAAACCCCATCCAATACCAACCATGGTCTTAGTAAGGACTTCCGTAACAAACGCATGTCTAATTTAAAATCCAAAAATCAGATTCTGTAGAGGATGCATAAATCCACTCTCCCCAGGCAGCTCAATTTCCACTTCTTACTCCAATGCTACAACTCAGTATTACAGATGAAGATAGGTGGTTTTGGGGATTTCTTAGTCGAGCATGCAAATTGATGCAATTGGGTAGCATAGCATCACCCATAGGCATCTGGATGCAATCAGTATATATTCACAAAACAAGATACCAAGACCTTACTTTTCTCCTTCAGCTTCTTTTTATAACTCTCCTCTGTGCAGGAAATTCACACAAGTCACGTAATGCAGATTCAAGAAAAAAATGTAGTCTGTTAGTTTATGAAACAAAGGGTACATTTAAAATCACAGTATGTACATGAATATTTACAATTGCTTCAGAACCCACCGAAAATGTTTCCAAAATGCAGAAGCCCCATGCAGGATAAGAATAGGACAAACTGTGCAAGGTTTGACATTGTTTTTCAGCAAGCAGACAATGGAGTAAGTGGCCTCCTTTTCTTGCATAAGCTTTCTATGATTCCATGACATATGCCTTTATAACATACGGTCATTGGTTGTATCTCAATTCAAGAAGGACATATACTCAATTCATGGGTTTCTGCCATGGGTATTCATGTAACCGAAGGCCAATTCTCCACCACAGATCTTTGAGCACATTGGGCAAAACTCCTCCAAATTCAACTCAAATGGACTAAATAAAGATGGCACGTGTAGAAGGTTGGGAAACTTTAATGGAAAGAAAATATTCAGTCTAATATCCTATGAAAAAATTTAAGGAAGGGTCCCAAAATCATGATAACAGCAGGAAAAAAAGTGTGAAGAGAAACTACACAAAAGACCTCTATTAACAAGTAATGTAAGGGCCTTTGTGCATAAAATCGCGAGGGGCATAGATAGGATGAATTGCATATAGTCTTTTTCCCAGGGATGGGGAATTGAAAACTAGAGGGCATAAGTTTAAGGGGAGGGGGGATAGATTTAAGAAGGACCCGAGGGGCAACTTCTTCATGCAGAGATTGGTGCGTATATGGAATGGGCTGCTGGAGAGTGTGTTTGAGGCAGGTACAAGAGCAGCATTTAAAAAAAACATCTGGATAGGTACATGGATGAGAAGGATTTAGAGGGATACTGATCAAATGTGGGCAATTGCAACTAGCAGAGTGGGCACCATGGTCAGCATGGACCAGTTTGGGCTGAAGGGCCTATTTCCATGCTGTATTATTCTATGACTCTACTCTATGGCATTATCAGAGACACCCACATCACAAGCTTGAATAAAAAAAACAGCAAAAACAAATGAACTGGAGGTGCCATGTTGGGCTTTAAAATCCTCTATTCAAGATAGAGGAAGGAATTGCTGTTATTAGGATATAAGCAAAGTCAAATCATCTCCAAACTTTTGCACAGATGATCAAAGTCTGCCTCTTACCTGCCCCACTGTCACTTTCATCCATTTCAGTTTTGAAACTCATTTCAGAACATAGCCTCTTGATCTCAGCGTCTTTCTGTTCCAACTGTTCCTTCAGCTGCAGCAGCTCATCCTACATTATAACAAAAGTATAATGTCTTAAGCAGTAATTGCAATGTACAAAAGAATACATAATTATGGTCTTTCAGATAGCTCACGAATACTCTGGCCTTCTCTTCACATTGGAAGCATGGGTTCATGATCTAGCACCAGCTACAAGCAAAATTTAACTTTATTCTGACTAACATTAATGATGGAAAATGTATTTCTATTTCCCCAAGATTGTTCTCGACTCCTGAATGGGATATTTCAGAGCACAGGCTCGGATGGTATTTTCTCTAATGCCAATCATCATTAGCAGATGGCAATATAACTTGAGCAAGATAAATTAATCTAGGTCATTCTTTAGTCTCTCTTCTCCACCTTCTCTCACTCCACACCACACAGCCAAGAATTTATCATGTGGTGTTAGATAAACTTAATTTCTTTGGTTAGGAGTCAACCTTTAACTGCACACAATGCTCCAAGGTAAAAATTCAGTAGGCCTCTTGTATCAAATTCTCAGGACAATGCTCCACAAATATTGCAAAAATACAGGTTCAAATGCCTGATACACACAGTTTTCCCAATAAATGAATTTTGGCCAACACTACTTTAGTTTACATCATATGACCAATTTTCATGTCTGTCAAGCAGGTCATTTAACTGAAAGCACCCAAGGTACTGACACCACAAACTTTTTTATTCAACTGAGTGTAACATCGTTCACTATGTTTCCCAGTAACTAAGAATTCAGATTTATTTATTTCAAATCAAAATGAAAAATAGTCCCGGACAAGAAGTTAATGCATTCCATTGAAGCTTGTTTTTTCACTATGCTGTCAAGACCAGAACACCTGTGTATTTTGGACACATCCTGTGTTTGATTTCACTATTTGTTTGGAAGAATATGCCAAATGTTCACTTTTCAATAAATGTATCTCTTACAACACTTGCTTTAAATTTCTCACCAAACTCATGCCTATTGGTAGGAACTATGGTGCTACCTACCTGTACAATTTGCACACTGACCAGGTCTTACCCTTAACCAGCTTCTCCAGATCAGACAGCTGGAGTTTCTAATGCTTCCAATTTGCATATAGCCCTACACACCTAGAATCCATCCTATTGTTCTGTTAACCAACCTCTCCAGTCTATATACTGCACACATCTTCTGAAGCGTAGTTATCAAAATTAAACAAGGCTCTTGAAGTAGAATCTGAGCAAAGGTAATAAGTGCTCACCAAAATGTCTGCATGTGTCTATTTACTGCTTGACGATATCTATCACTTTGCTTTAACTGGTTACTGTAATATTTTAGTATTAAGTAAAAATTCCATCAATACCAGTTTTTTTTTTATTCATTTGTGGAATGAGCAACACTGGCTAGCCAGCATTTGTTGCCTGTCCATAGCTACCCATAGAAAATGTGGTAGTGAGCTGCATTCTTGAACCACTGCAGTCCACCTGCTGTGATTCAGGAGGGAATTCCAGGATTGAATGTATTTCCAAGTCAGGATAATGTGGCTTGGAGGGGAACTTGCAGGCGATGATGCTCCCGTATATTGACTGCCCTTTTCCTTCTAGATTGAAGTGATTGTGGGTTTGGAAGGTGCTTTCTAAAGATCTTTGAATTTCTGCAGTGCATTTGTAGATAGTACACACTGCTGCTACTTAGCGCTGGTGGCGGAGAGAGTGGATGTTTGTTGATGTGGTGCCAATCAAGTAAGCTACTTTATCCTGGATGGTGTCAAGCTTCTCGAGTTATATTGGAGCTGCACAAATCCAGACAAGTGGGGTGTCTTCCATTGCCTTGTAGACGGTGGACAGGCTTTGGAGAATCAGGTGGCGAGTTACTCGCTGCAGTATTCCCAGACTCTGACTTGCTCTTGTAGCCATTGTATTTATGTGGCAGGTAAGGATGAGTTTCTGGTCAATGGTAAACCAAGGATGTTGAGAGATTAGGGGATTTAATGATGGTAACACCATTGAATACCAAGGGGCAGTGGTTAGATTATTTCTTATTGGTGATAGTCATAGCCTGGCATTTGTGGTGTAAACGTACCTTGCCATTTGTCACCCTGGAGGTTTTCAAGTCTCCTGTGCCAACTCAACTCCATTCAAAGGAAAAAAGTTACACGTGTCTACCTGTAATTGTTTACATATCAGTAGCAGTCGTCAGTTCAGCCAAGTGGTGATCTACATTCTTCTGAAAAATCACTCACTGTATCTAACTTCACCATACTGTTTTATTGTCCTTAGTGTTAACCAGGCAGTTTAAAAAGTCTTAAGGACACAGCAGTGACCAACTCCACTCCATCCCCACCCCCAAGACAATCGCCGCCTAAGCGTCTTGCCTGCATGGGTTTATTCCCAGTACAGCCAAATTATTTTCTGATCCTAACACCTCTTCATCCAAAGAAATATCTTAACAATCAGCACTCTTTGCCTTTTATCATCTGTCCCACTTGCTCCTCCTTCCCCTTTTTTAAATACTATAAAATCTATCGCTTTTCCAGCTCTTTCAGATCTGCAGTAGTCATATTGGGCTTTAAACATTAATTATTTCTTTCTTCACATGTGCTGCCAAACCGACAGAGTTTCTCCAACACTGTTTACTCCATAAACCTGCAATTAGTTTTAGTGGTCAGATTAAGGGCAGCTCTAACGTACTGACCAAAGATGTATCCAAATTCAATTCTTCCACTGAGTCAACCTTACACCTCCCAAAAGTAATTCGTGACTAACCTCTAATCCAGCCCTGTTTTTAAAATCATTGGCTATTAAAATAACAAAGGCTTTTATACAGAACACTATACAAACCTTTTAGAAAGTTCAAAGCATCCAAGTAAATTAAACAAGACAAACAGATTGGATCTTGTTCACCTAAAGTCACACTAGTTGTTACTATTATACAGGCAGTACTCCACTATCTAATACTTGACTAATTAAGTTAGTGGGCTTTGATATAAGCATGAGTGCTTGCTAAGTCCTACAGAGCATCACCAATGCCTCATAATGAAGACTGATAAGGATAAGCATTCTTTGAACTTTGAAGGCAGTCAATATTTTTTAAATTATCTTTTGCAGCCCTGAGCAGGCCTATGATGTATACATTTGGGGATGAGACACAGCTGTGCAAGTCTAATGCTGTTTCATTGCCATGTGGGGCTTGTTCGATTGCCTGGAGAGTTGGGAAGAAACAGCTCCAGTAGTTCGGCTGAAAGATTTTTTTCCTTCCATTTTGTCTCATCTCAGGAAGTTACCATTACTAGCAACCAGGCAGCAGAGTACATGGTGGGAGCAAATTACTGCAGATGCTGGAATCTATACTGATAACAAAAAATGCTGGAAATCACAGCAGGTCAGGCAGCATCCATGGAGAGACAGCAAGCTAATGTTTCGAATCTAGATGATTCTTCATTACAGCTGACGTGAAGTGAGGAGGGGGCAGTATTTAGGCAATGACTGGAGGAATGTGGGGAGTGCTGGGCAAGAGTGTGCGTAGTGCAGATTAAGTGCTCGGAATGAGAGAATGGCAGAACAATGGTGTGTCTAACTGCTAGACTGGAAAGAACAGACAGTCCCACTGGAGTTGAGGGAGGGGAGAGAGGACATGGTGACAGAAAATGTATAAGTAAAGCTAAAAGACAGGGAAGGAATGGGAGTGGGTTCAAAATCTGAAGCTGTTGAACACAATATTAAGTGCAGAGTAAGTGGCTTGACTGTTGAGAGGTGGTGTTTTATTTTTCCCCTTCACTTTCCTATTCACATTCTTGTATTCTGTCCATAAAGATTTATTAGCTAAAAGGTATCCAACCATATCTATTAAATAAAAACATTTTCTTTCACAGTTTTTTTTTAAAGCACTTTCTTTCACTTTTTACAAATAAACACTCAATTGTGGGCATCACAAGCAATGTTAAAACTTATTGCCCACCCCAATTGCAGATAGGTGTTAAAGATAGCTAATTCTGGCCTGAAGTTTAATAGCATAAGAGTATGACTCTTAGAAAAAAAAAACAAGCCTGAATTAATTAGAAGACTTTTTTTTAAAATTAATAATTTTGCTGCAATGTAAACTGCACAATAAAAATTTATAATGGAGAATGATTCATCTAGGAACAGATATTTATGACAACACAAACTCTTGCCATCCATCTACTGTATGTTAAAATTAAATAATCTTTTTAATTCAAGTAGAGTTAGTTACTCACTGGATGAAATCAAACTACTTTTCAATATTACAACAATTTTGCAGAATAACACCGACATGCAAGCAGATTGAATATAGATCAAGATCAATATAAAAATGTACAGACATTATGCAAAAGTGTTTGACAGAACTACAGGTGAAGCTTGACAAACAGTTCAACCAGCTTTTGTTTAAAAACTTTACAAATACTAACTGTAACAACATATTAAAAGCACTGCATGCTGGAAAAGACTGGTGTCAGAACAGGGATTGCAAGTTCCATACTTGCCACAATATGCTCACATTACTTATGGTTTTTTTAATAACAAAAAGAAAACCTGGAGATATTATGAAATACAAAGCTGTGCAAAAATACAGACAGAGGAAAACAAAGATCCATGCAAAGATTATTTTAATTGATGGATTTGGTTTTGCATTAATTTCTTCACAGGCACACATATACGGTCATACTAGCACACAGAAACAATTCAGACAGAAGTTACAGCACAGCTTTACCAGTAAGCCAAAACCCACCACACCTTCACTGCTTGAGATTTTTGCTCCATTCGCTGCTTCTCGTACTGCATCTGACCAACCTTGATTTTCAGGCTAGAGAGCTTTGCCATTAATGACTGGTAGACATGAAGGAATACAAAAATAGAAAGCTAGAGGCTGAAAGAGGCAAAGCTAGAGTAGCTGAGGTACACTGTTCATAAACATCTTGTCACTATTTGCAGAACTGTAATTCTTTAATTATGTACAAAAGCATGTATCACTGTAGGATTCAAGCACAAGAACCCAAGCAAAGCACCATTCTTACATTATGGCTCATGAAACAAATGGTTTTCGTTCCTGAAATTGCAATCTTTGGGCTTTCGTCAATGAGTTCTATTGGACATTGGTCCACAAAACTTGGTTTTTTAATGAAGTGACCAAGTCAAGTAATTATTCACCAAAACAACAACTTTCAGCATCAGCCTTTATCCCATTACAGACTACGTCTACTAATGGCTGGTGCCAGATGCAATACAGACAAATGGATTAGAAGGAGACACTGCAACATAAACTTCCCTATCATTTAAAAACGCTAAGATAAAATTAGGGAAAGAATAGAAGGGAGAATGAAAGTTAGTCAACAGCATCTTTGTATCTTTCTTAAAAAAAAAACCAGATGCATCAAACTCTCAGTAATGGAATTACTCCAGTTAACTCTATGGGATTGTTCGAGAAACCCGTTTAGCACAGAGCCTGGAAGCTTCAATTTATTTAGGGTGTTAACATACTAACACTCCTGGATTTGTTAGCATTGGGGTTAAAACTCTTCTGGTGAATATAAAGTTTGAGAGTTAACGATTAAATTTTTTTCCAGCAATAAAACAAGTTAACACTAGCACTCAACTGTATGCAAGTAATTAGATGGGAAATAAGTAGCCATCTTTCTGCACTAGAATGTGACCTTCCATATTTGTAAACTGGATTTCACCTGGACTAATACATGCTATTCTAAAAGCCAAGATGTTTTCCACCAAATCAATGTGCAGGGAAAGTAATTTAAATCAAGAGCAGATTGCTTACATAACAGATTCCAGTTTGTAATCAGCCACATCTCAGGTTTTGATTAAGAAACTTCCCATAGCACAGAAGGGCTGTGGAATAGAAACTTGGACTCTTGATGCTATTCAATGATGTGTATGTTGCCACTTGATGACAATACGAAACAGTGCGAAATAGTTTTCAGTCACACTGATACTGAATTATTGCAGTATAAAACCAGATTTAAAGCCTGACCTAACTCAATGGTGCATACAGGAATACAGGCACAAAGATTCTACAGCTGGAATGAGTATACACTGACAGGCTCAAAACTTCCATAATTCTTAATTTACAATCAACCGCATAAGAATATCACTAATTTCAGTATTAACCCCCAAGTGGAACAACTAACTTGTCTCACATCATCCATTCCGTTTTGTCCTTTACATGAGTTTGCAACTTCAAGGACATTGCTGAAGATAAACTAATAACCTATGTAATCTAGAATGATCACCACCAGATGGCGCAATTCTGTACTCAAATAGAATGACTACAGTACCCAAAAATTGACCGAATTAAAAGGTAAACCACTGACACCTTAAAAGTGAAATTTCCCCATTCCCTACAAAGGAATGCCTCACAATGCATCATGGGTTGTTCAATTTCATTGCCCTGCGGCTTAGATTGCGTACAGAAAAAAAGCAGCCCCTGTACATTAAGGAAAATAAACAAACATACTCAGTTCACCAAATATAAATAACGTGTATTCAATGAGCACAGCCAAATTAAGCTTATAAAGAATTCTGAATTGGTTTGTAAATGTTTCCAGCAACTTCATGTCTGTTTAGTATGTAATTATCATTTAGTGAATGGTACTCTCAAATGCTCCTACAAGTTTACAAAGGAATGTTTTAAAGTTAAATGAAAAACAAAACAGAAAAACAGTTTATACTTTTGTATTAGCCAGTGATGACTTCAGAAAAGGAAAAACATGATCATTCAAACTTACTCCACCCATCATTTCCAAAACTGGAATAATCCAGTGCAGGTGACGGAAGAATAAGCCTCAATTAATTTCCTTTTATCTGGAAATGTCATTGTGTGTAAACATGCAATTTACAGGCTTGGTTTCAGATTGCACTATCCTGTTACAGACACTAACAGATTTTTTAAAAAAATTTGCTTCACAGGATTTGATCATCACTGGCCAAGCCAGCATTTATGGCCCATCTCCAATTACCCACAGGGCAGTTAGAAGTCAACATTGCAGTGGGTATGGAATCGTGAGGACTGGACCATGTAAGGATGCCAGATTTCCTTCCCTATATTAGTAAACCAAATGTACTTTTATTGACAATTGACATGGTCACCCTTAGACTGGTTTTTTTATTCCAAATTTTTATTGAATTCGAATTTCACCATCTGCTATATTGGGATCTGAACCTTAACACCAGGACATTAACATGGAGTTCTGTATTACGAATCCAGTTACGTTACTACTACCACTGCCTATAAAATATAACACCTCAGTAAATATTAAATATACCTGTAATCCAAATTTAAGGACTGAAGACTTAGATTTCAAGTCTTAAGAAATAAGCACTCTTTAAAATGCACCCACTATAATGCACACTAGTACCATTTATGCATTTTTTTGCACCTCATGGTGGGCTCACCAAACACCTGCACGGCATTGTGCAGTTATTTGGTGTTTATCAGCAGAGGTTCATGGCTAGGAAAGGAAATACTGTATGTGAGGGTGGAACCTGGGGAAAGAGGCAGTAACAAAGGTTCTCAATGGATAAAAAGATAGGCAAAGTATGCCAGATTTCTCAAATTTACGAACCTTTGATAGTATAAATGCACAATACTTGAATGGAAGGACAAAAAAATGAATGCTTGGAATTTTTCAGATATGCAGTTACCTTCGATGGAGAGTTATGTACAGATTCTGCTTTCTTGAATGTAAAAGGTGAATATTCGATACATGGACTAACCATCATACTCACATTCCAGATATCAAATATTAGATGGCACCATTTCTCCAAGCTTTCTTTCCCAGGTGGTGTGAAGGCTAGTCTCAATTAATTATGTGTTACTTTGTGAGGAAGCATGTTCCCATACCATTATAATACTTGACTAATTAAAGAAATTTTACTTTAGGCTCCACTTCAACCAGCTCCCTGTACTGGGCCACTCCTCTGACCACTGCTTCAATTGCCTTAAAATGAAAGTCACATTCCATATCCCAGGAGCAATGAACCAATTCAAATGCATCCCCCTCGATAGCACAATGACATTTAATTTAATTTCATCTATCTTCCTACCTTGGTTGATTTCAGTTTCTTATCAAACTGAATTTTTTCATTTTCCATTTCAACCACTTTTACTCTCAGATCATTAACTTCTTGAAATAACCCCTAAAACAAACAGCAAAGTTTCAATTTACATATAGAAATCAACTGATCATAATTATTCAGTGATGCAGCTATAAAATTGTAAAATGCAAACAAAATTCAAAATTCTTTTTAAGATCTCCAATATAGTATACAAACATAATTATTGAACTATTACCCATGGAAAATGAAATGATTTCTAAAATGTCAGGCACCAATTCAGTCAAAGTTATTTTACACAGAGCACTGACCGATTTCTTAGTCAACTTTGAATTCGCTGTTTAAACCTTACTAAGAAATCCACTTGTATAAATAAAACTAAACTGATGGGGTTGAGACATATTAACCAGATAAGTTAGAATGGATCCAGCGACAAGCTAAAGCATAAAGTCATAGGAGAGTACTTTAACATTTTGGGATATGTTAATTAGATTACATCAACCGTGCAAGTATGCAGAGTTCCTACTGCCGTGCAATGCATAAAATTTCAAAGGATTCTGGCATTTCTCAAGTATAAGAACAGCACAATCTAAGCAAACACTATTTCCCAGGGTTAGTCTTGAATAAAAAATAAAGAACGGGAATATAAAATTGTCACAAAGTTGGACATTCTGACGTATAAAAATTTGTACATTAAAATCACTACAATTGGATTCAACTGAATGCCAAACAGTCCATTTACTTCTGCATTTAATATTTCCATTTTCAATACACAAAGGTTCTCAATGGATAAAAAGGTAGGCCAAGTATGCCAGATTTCTCAAACTTACGAACCTTTGTTAGTATAAATGCACAATACTTGAATGGAAGGACAAAAAAATGCTTCTTTTCAGATATGCATTTACCTTCTTTGAGAGTTATGTACAGATTCTTCTTTCTTGAATGTAAAAGGTGAATATTCAATGCATGGACTAACCACCATACTCACTTTCCAGGTACCAAAAATCAGATGGCACCATTCCTCCAAGCTTTCTTTCCCAGGTGGTGTGAAGGCTACTCTCAATTAATTATGTTTTTACTGTGAGAGGAAGCATGTTCCCACACTATCATACTTGAGTAATTAAGGAAATTTTACTTTCTGCTCCACTTAACCAGCTCCCTGGACAAGGCCACTCCTCTGTCCACTGCCTCAAATTGCCATTCGTGTGCATTTTCCACTATTACTAAGTCACCATAGTTAATAAATGCTCACTTTCCACTGCTTCCACCATCGTGCTCCCTGCAGATCCCCTCTTCTTCCTATTGTGCTGTCAAGGCCTTTCCTGTCTGTTTCTACCAGTGCCCAGCTAGGTGTTCCATTGCTATTTGTCTTCCTAGGCCTAATGTCGTTCTGTGCCTATTTCATAGCTCAGCAGTGGGAAATCAGCAAATAGATGCCACATTGAAGGATAAGGAGAGGGCAATGCCACCAATATGTGGAAAGACAAACAAGGCGTAGGACAGTAAAAGAAATTAGGCAAAGAAAAGAGCTGAAGCAGCTAAGTGGAATGGGTGAGGGAGTGATAGAAAACAGAAATGAGGCAATAACGAGAAGGTGAAGAGAAGGCACTGCTTAATCTTCAATCTCAATGCAGCTGGAAACTGATATTTTAATTTGCCAGAATGCGCATTCTGATTATAATGCGCCATGGTTTATTTCTTCCAAACTCAATAAGGTTTCCAAATTTTTTGATAAGGTCCCGCACATTGGTGACTGATAGCAAAGGTAAGAGCTCATGGAACTGTGAAAGTTGGCAAATTAGTTGAGTGGCAGGAAATAGAGGGTGATGATTGAGGGCTGTTTTTGTGATTGGAAGCCAATGTCCAGTGGAGTCTGCAGGTATCATTGTTGGGGCCCTTTATGCTTATGGTATGTATAAATGATTTAGACTTGATTGCAGAATAGGTGATCTGTAAGTTACAAAAATTGGTGGGATGGTAGATAGTAAGGAGAATAGCTTTAGATTACAGAAGGATAATGATAGTCTGATTAAGTATACTGATCAGTGTGGGTAGCAGGGGAGGGAGGCGTAGATTTAAGGTAAGGGGCAAAAGATTTAGAAGGGATGAGAGGAAAACATTTTTTTAAAACAAGGTGTTGGAGGAAGTCTGGAACGCTCTGCCTGCGAGGATAATAGATGAAGAAACCTCATAACATTTAAGTAGCATCTAGATGTGCATTTGTAAGGCATACAAGGCTATAGGTCAAGTGCTGGAGAGTGGGATTAGAATAGTTGGATGCTTATTTTGACTAGCAGACCCGGTAGGCCAAAGGGCATTTTCCTGTGATGTAGAACTTCTATGACTTGGGCCTTCGTTTTAAACATACAAGTTTTGCTTGCTTCTTCAACCATCCAATAAAAAATTGTTGCACTGAATGTTAAAATTTATCAGAGAACATTACATACAATTCAATTCTAACCTAAAAACGTTGCACCCAAGCAGTAACAAGAATTTAGAACAAGCCTAAACAGGCATTAGAATACAAGTGAAGGGCACTTCATGATGCATCAAGAAGACATTTTGTAATTTTGGGTATTTGCTTTAGGAAAAAAATGGTAGGAGTTCAGAAATATAATTTTTTTGTAGAAAGAGCGTGAGCAAGCAGCGACAAGGGAAAGACTCAAATAAAGATTTTATATTCAGAAAATGAGACAAGCAATACTGGAATAAAATTAATATCTTCGCAAATCTAGACTATCAACATCAAAGGTTTCAAACAACACTTCATATTATATTTATCTTCTTTCTTCACCAGGCAAAAGAATTGGCTCTGAAATAACAAAGATATTTGCTGATTAACAGTGTCAAAAGAAAAAATCTACATGGTCAAATAGCTTTTGAAGAACAGAGTTGAGGTTTAAGAATTATGACAGAGACACTGTAGCAAACTACAGTGAATTCGTGATTAGTCAAATTCGAATAACCCCAAACTTGAGTTGCAAAGCAGTCAGCCATTCCAGCCAGCAAAATTGGAAATTCTGTAGAAGGATGCCTGCAATAAACAGAAGTTCCAGAATGAAACCTGGATTATCCAAATTTGCGCATGCCTGCCATGTGACCTCATCAACCAATAGGCACTGTGCTGGGACATGGTACAGCGTGAAATCATGGCCAAGTTTGCAGTGATCACCACTTTCGGCCACATCCTGAAGGAGTACAGACCAAAAGGTATTTTTGGTGTGGATGAACCTGGTGTTATGCAGTCTTTTACCTGGTCACGATTTAACATTTGAAGATTCAATGCGATGGTGAGCAAAGCAAGGAACGTACCATTGTTATAGTCTGCTTCAAAATGGATACTGTCAAAAAGCTACCACTTCTTGTGATTAGTCCAAGAAGCCATTGTGCTTTGTAAATATCAACACACTACCCATACAGTATGAAAATAACAAAATTGCCTGATGTCCAGCATGGGGTGTGGATCATGAACGCAAATGAAATGGATTAATAGAAGAAAGACAGCTTATCACTGTTGACCCCTGGCTGAAGACACAAAAGCTGTAGTAATGCTCCAAGATTTCCCATGGAGCATGAAAACGTGGAAAACTGTTTTACTGCACTGATGACATAGGAGGCTCATGCAAAGACAAAATGTGGAGCAGAAAAAGATAGCTAAATTTTTCCAGAGCTGACTCCCAATGTTTTCAATGCCTTTTACTGTGCAAGGTCAGGCCATTGTAAAGTATGAACAAATTGAAAAAAAACATCTACACACAGTTATTGTGTCACATTTATTTGACAGTATGTTTGCAAACAAGTCTAATTACATAGGTACTTCCCTCAGCTACTTCAAAGCTTCACTTAAATTTGTAGGTGGCCCCCTGCAATTCAATGACATGATATTACTTGGCAGTGTATGCCAAGCTTCTGAGACGAGCACAATGCTGTGTCATTGATAAATGTGGAATGCATAATTTACATATTTCAGCTTCATTCCATTTGGCAGAGGTGGGGGACAGCGTGCAGATGAGGACTGAGAAATTTTTACAGACCCTCCCTGATGGGATTAACAAGATGGGTAGAATTCATGTTGCTGCAAATTATATGGCACATGAATAAAAAGGGAGTTTGGAGGGCCAGAATGGTTTTTTTAACATATGTTCCTCAATAATCTTGTCAAAGACTGATTCTTAACAGTGTACTTAATTTAGCGATATTGGGCAAAGAATGCAGCAATAGATGGACTGAAGATGCTCTACTGTAACCTTAATTTCTCCTCTTCCTCAATCCCTCCTTGTAGCAATCAAGTTGAAACATGCACTATAACACATTGGCCAAAATGCTAATGCTATTGAGCATCCTGTCATGTAGTCACCTCTTGATCACCAAACCGTGACCTCTTTTCCTGGAATAATGCTAGTTCCACTTCCACCGTCTCCATCTGCTGTCTCAGCTCTGTTATTAGGTTAAACAATGACTGCAGAGTACAAGGCAAATGAAATAAGAGAACAGGAAAAGAAAAGTGACTAGACCAAGTAGTGAAGCAAAGAAATCGTTGACAGAATAATTGAAAACAAAAATACAGACACCACATAAAACGTTAGCTGTAAGGTTTGCAACAAGACCAAACTTTCCACTGACTTTACTAAAAATACTGCAGCTTTAGAAACTAAAAGGTTCTCAGGCATATCAATTAATGTCACATTTATTGTTAATTGTAGTCTATATGGTGGGCAATAACAAGGTGACCAGTCAAGGACTTATCCACAGCCAAAACCAACTACGATTAAACTTTGCCTGAAAGCTGCATTCTGCTGTAGAAACCAGTCAAATTCTTTTAGAATTGACAGTAGTGCAGAACTGACCCTTTATGTTTAAAACTCCGGTTTACTCATTCATTCATTCAGATTTAAAAACAATCATTCCTGCCGTAAACGTAGGAATTCAACTTTGCAGTTTGGACATTATAAACTCAAGTTTAGAATCAGAAGAACACTCAGTGAACTGGTGTAGTACTTGTTATTGAATCAAATGGTGCTTTACTGTCAAGCCCAGTCATGTCCTCATGTGGCATCCAAAAACAGCAGCTGCACAGCTAGCTGGCTATCTGACATGGGAATCAAAGCTGCCTCTGGTCCTTTCCTGAAGTAGAGCTCAACTGCTATGCCCCACTACATCTTTTGCTTATAGTATTTTGAATTAAAACAATTCTTTAAAAGCATTTAGAATAGCTACATAATGAAAAAAAGAGTAAAGGCAAGCACAATAGAATGTTCATGGAAGAATAAGGAAAAGTCACCATAGTCTTACTGGACCATTAGAGACACACAACTGGTGGTGATTCAAACCTGAAGGTCACCACAGCTCAGGCAAGGGGAAAGGTTGAGAAGGAGAGTCCTTCAATGATAACCTCAACTGGTGTGGGAATTGACCTTATGCTGTTGGTATCACTCTGCATTGCAAACCAGCTGTCTAGTTAATTATGCTAACCGAACTCCAAATTAAGATTAGTGAAAGTGGTAGGGCTTAAAACAGACTTAGAAGGGAAATTGGAAAAAAAAACAAGGAACGGACAGGTACTTATGTAACCCAAATTACCAAAGGTGGAACAAACTTTTTAATTCAAAGGTAAATTTACTTGAGAAATTCAAGTGAAGATATATTCTGCAGCATTAAAATGGTAGATGTTATTTGTCTCACCTCCGTATCTTTATACCTTTCTTCATATTCCAACTTATCCTTTTCCAGTGCACTCAGTTTTATCTTTAGATTTGACACCTCAGCCATTAGATCCAATTTCTGAGTCTCCAGTGATGTTCTGCTTAAGAGCTCCTGAAACAAAAAGGGTGTCTGTGTTGTTGTTGTTGAGGGTGTCTGTGTACACTGCTTGAATAAAATGTCATAACTGCTATACAGAACAGCTAGCTTGAAGTTGAGTATCATCAGTACTTCTGTTCAAAAATGGTATGGCAACTAAGAGTCAAATCTATTCTGAGTTTAATGTCTTCTTCACCAGCACATTCTGTTGAGTAGCTGTCAAAGAGCTTTCATGACATCATGAAATCAGAGAAGTAATTCATTTATGAAGGTATAATCATTAAACCAGGATACTTTGGTTCAGCGCTCTCATTCTCAGCAGCTTCAGAACTCAGCCAATACAGTTAATTGATGCTCATTTTAAATTGTTTAGCACATGGAGCGTTTTAGGGTGTTTGAATCAGATACTAAGACAGCATAGGAAGAATTTTAAAAAAATTTTCCTTCAAATTATCAAATAATTCACAATTATCATGGCAAAGGAGTGGCTATTCAGCCCAGCCAGCCCATGCCGACTCTCTGCAGAGCAATTTAACTCTGTCCCATTCCCCTGTTATTTCTATCAGCTCATTTCTATCAGCTGTATATCAATTTCCTCTTGAAATTGCCTGTGCTTCCATGACCTTTGTGGGCAATGAGTTCTAGGTCATTACCATTCATTAAAAAAAAATCTCATTCCCCTTGTATCTCTTGCCCAAAACCTTAAATCTGTTTCATAGTTCTTGTAGTCGGAACAGCTTTTCTTTGCTTTATTTACACAAGCAACCCTCAACTTCCTTTGCTTCAAAGAGAATTTCAGCTTCTCCAATTCAATCTCATAGCTAAACTCCCTCATTCCTTCAACAATTGAGTGTACTTAAGACAGATGTTCTAGATTAGTAAGGGGATCAAAGGTTAGGGTGAGAAGGCAGGAAAATGCAGTTGAGAAACAGGTTTCCAGCATCAACTTTTTTTAAAATCAAACTGTTATGCAGTACGTTAAGTGCTTTCTTAAAACCCATACCGACAACATTCATTGCAAGTCCTTCGGCAACTTTCATTATTATTTTTTAAAAAAAAATTCAGTCAAACACAATGTGCCTTTTATAAATCTGTGGTGGCTTTCTTTAACAAACTCAAACCTTTTTCAGCGTATGATGATATTTGTCCAATTGGTTTTTGGAAATAACTGCATTGAGGCTGGTATCCTGTCACCTGGTCCTCCTTTGTTTACATGTGCATTGTACATGGGCTCTGATCAGCCAGCTCAGGAGCTAGTCCCTCAAATGAGGAGGCTTCCTGAATCCCCAGTTTATATCTATCAGCCAGTGCTCCAATTGGCCCAGATTAACAACCCCAATCAAGCACCTCAGTCAACGAGATCTACTCAGCCCTCATTCCAATCATTAGTTTTAAAACCTAAACATCACAGTATTAAACTAACCAGCCTATACTTACTAAAAATGTCATACAACTTTTCTTGAGATATTTATTATGCCCATGTATAGTATGAAAAGCCAACAGCCTTGTCAGCGACTAGATGGAATTCTCTAAGCACATCTTCAAATTTAGACAGCTAACACATCTTAACATTTTGTTTTATTTATTTAGGTAACATCAGTACCGCTGGCTGGGCCAATATTTATTACCCATTCCTAACTGTCCTGGAAAAAGTAGCACTGAATTGTCATCTTAAACTGCTGCTGTCCTTGAAGTGTGAGTATACCAGTTCTGTTAGGAAGCGAGTTCCAGGATTTTGACTCAGCAACAATGAAAGAATGGCACTTTCAAACAATTAATAGGGTGATAAAATTAACATTGCAGATCCAAAGCCTATTCTATATCTTGAATTGGAATCTCAAGGTTCTTCTTTCAGCCACACCTGTGTTAATAGATACTGGAATGTTAAAAGGCAGCCGTGTGCATTGTCGAAAAATTTTCTTTGATTGCAATCAAAGATAGAGGTATTCAAGCTAACAATGACCATCCTGTTCTCTCTGAAAATATCATAACCTCTCAACAGCGTTACTAAGCACTTTCATCAGAATATAATATCTCAAGATACTGCAGTGATAAAATCAAGAATGACCATTTGCAATTTACTTTGTTTGGTAACTTCCCTACACAAGTCCTTCTTGAACTCTTAAATGTTGCTTCATTTAGAAGATTCCAAATCTCAATGTCCAATGAAATTTATATCTCAAAAAATCTTGCTCTCAACAGTCCCAAACCTACCTGTTGTAACATCTCTTCTGTGCCATTCAACTTCTCTCGGTGCTCATCCAGACAACTCTCTAGGTCTCGAATCTTCTCTCCTTGGGCTTCCACCTGGTCTGTTAGAACACTCACCTGTGAACCAAAGTATAACTTCTGGTACAGAAACATTTAGGGATATCTCCACCTTTATAAAGTGCCGTAAGTTACTATTTGCTCGTTATTATAGCAATAAACTTTACACATACTTAGAATACCAAAACCTAGCTTGCCCGTTAATTAAACAATTTCATGTTTATTCTGGTAATCTGATCAAAGCATGTTCCATCATGCCTAAAAAGCTGGAGTATAAAATACTTCTGCATTAGTTCAACCAAGCTGCTGGTTTCAAATTCAACTGCATTTTACAACGTTGAAATCTGTTGTGCACTGAATCTATGATAATATTGAATAGTAAAGTGGCACTTGAATGCAACTGTTCACACATTGTAACTGACTTATCTATTTGTAGTGCCTTGACAGGTATAAATGCAAGGCGTGTAACATACCTGAAATTGACAGTATACAAATATATTACAATAAATACACCTTAAGTATTTTAATTGTACATTTTAGTCAACGTGTCTTTGCAAGCAGAATTCAACAGTCGAGTATTAAGAGAATTTGAGATAGTTAACAATGATCATGCTCTTGCGAACAGTTCTCATTCAAACATTTTAAAAATTTTTAATATTTGACTTTGCTCGATCATAGCACCTTCTATGAATTCAAACTTCAATAGCATAAATTAATTTCAACAGGTGCTTGCCTGGTAATTGAAGTATGGAATAATGGCCTCTGTGCTAAAAGATTCAACTGAAACCAGCATGCAGGTTTCCACAGAGAATGACTGAACTTGTTTGGGAGGGAGGGAGGGAGGGAGATTTCAGAAAGCAGCCAACCTTCTAGAGTGACAAATCACAAATTGCTTCTCAGCGAATCAATTTCTTCATAACTGGCCTTGCCAATAATGACCACATCACACAAATGAGTAAAAGGAAAACGACCATGTTTATGAAAGGACTGAAAACAGCACAAATGTGTATACTAACTCAGGAAAGGAAAAAGCTAGAACAAATAAAAAAGTAAATGAAAACTCTAATGTTATGCAATTACTTTTAAAGTTTTCATTCTTGGGAAACAGTATTATTGGCAAGATCAACATTTTCCTCGTCCTAATTGCCCTCGAGAATGTGGTAGCTAGTCAGGAACTGCTGCATTGGTGCATACACACAAGGCTACTTTAGCTTTCCTACATTAATGTTGATTTTCAATTGAAAGTGAAGTACTTTACAATATAAAACCTAACAAATACATATACACTGCTGATGTTGCCCAAATACAGCACAGTTGTATTGAGCTGCATTGTACCATATCAAACTGTACCTATTACTCACTTATAAATTAGAATGCACACATTTCTAATATTGTAGAAATCATAAGTTTCAAACCAAAAACTTAAAACTGCATCAATTTTACTTACTTGTAAAACCAAGGATTCTTTATCTCCTTCTAATCGTGCCAGTCTATCCTGGTATGCATCACCGGTGACAGAGATATGGCCATTTGTCTGTGGAGGGGCAAGTTTACATAAATCAGCTAGCTTTCTTATTTACAGTTGTACAGTGTAACACCAGAAAAATGTCAGCTACCACAATTACTTTTGAGGGAAAGATCATTAGTATCTAGGTGTCAGAAAATGACGGAACAGACCAACAGTGGTGTGTGTCTTAAGGAGAAGCAATCACTGAGTAGTTGAAGTAAAAAGCATTGCTGTAAGCTTGAGGAAAGAGAGCATTTAGATACACAGAAATCAAATGGTATTTAATAATTATACCACCTGATGCTAAATGAATCAGAACCCACAGTAGCGTACCTAGCGCTGTGTTTGCTATTATTTCCAGTGGGCTCACACCAGAAGAATGTCAGATATCAAGATGTAACTGACATCACTGTATCCACCCTTCAAGTACTCTGCGCAGCTATACCACAGTCCATTCCTTTTCTGCGGAAGAGGCTACATGTAGAGTTTCCAAACAGATGCCAGTTATCCCATAAATCCAATATTTACTAGATGCTGGATCGCCGGTTTCTGCTGTTACTACCTGCCTCTGTGCTACAAATGCATACCATACATATATATTCACCAAATGGAAGCAGCCGACTGTGTCATTGGTCAATTATTGCATTAAGAGGGAAACAGATAGATTTCTGTTGTATGCAAGTGCAAGAGAAGAACAATTGGAAATACAACTGCTAAAGTAGAGGAATCATGATTGCTAAACAGGATTATATAACTGCATCAAGAGAATGAGAGAAGTTATTGTTGACAACAGGTATGACAATGCTTAAGAGAAAATATTTTAAGACAAATATATATTTATTTTATTCAATTTCCTCAAAAAGTGAAGCTTTGTTTAAAGTGCATTATTCAAACAACACAGCCATCTGTTATGTAGATTTTCTTTGGGGATTATGACTAATACAGACATCCAGTTAAGAAACCAAATTGTGGAAAAGTATACCTTTGTCGACTTGTAATCCTGTTCACAACCAAAACTTTCACAACTTCAAAAATTGAATAGATGGTTATCATCCTTACAGTTGTGACTTTTCTTTAATTGTTATAGAACCAAAAATTTAAAATTAGGGTGTACTATATTTTAGTCTGAGATTAGGTAGAGTTGATCTAATTTTAACAACTGATATCCAATTGCATTTGGTGTGCAAAATTTATAAAATTCACTCTTAATACAAATATCCCAAGTTAGACACAATATTGGAAGAGATTTAAAAACAAACAGCAATTTGGGCAAGTCAGCAAAATGACATGAACGAACGTTAAAATACCAGAACAAAGTAAGTACTATGGTTCGATGTTTTAAAGACACAAGATGTGGCTAGATTGGAAGGGTATGGATTGTAATTAGATTTAAAACAAAGCACACAATTTACTATTTGTAATTTATCGCCAGCTCTATTGTGCATAAACAAACAAATTGAGTCCAAGTTTTGGAGTACATGTTTATATTAGCCCTTTTCCTATCCCGTGAAACACTGCATGAGTTTCTGCTACAAAATGGCCTTAAACCATTTTTAGCAGGGAAGTTTTTCTTTCATTGAACTTTTCTGAAATTCTTTTTATGGCAGCAGGGCTTGGAATTATGGTACAAAGGAACAAAAGGCTTCCTGGATTTCACTGCTCTACAAGGACCTACTTACTCACACCTACTTTTGTCTACCTTGGGCAGAACTACCTTCACTTGACAGTTTCCTTACAATTCCAATTGTAAGGGGTGAACCTCCAGCAATGGCTTCCCTCCCCTGCAACCACCCACCGAAACCTTTATTGATCCACTTCTGTTTATATGCTTCCCCATGGTGACACTGCCTGAAGAGATGGGTCAGCTAACACCACAATAGGCTGTCAATTCTTTGCAGATTCCTTCTTCATCTTGCACTGCTAAACTGCTCATTGAAATCCAGTCTTGCATCAGCCATAATTTCCTTCGGTTAAACTCATGATTTCGACCACTGTCATAGTGTCATAAAGCACAGAAACAGATCCTTCAGTCCAATTCATCCTTGCCAACCAAGTTTCCCATACTAATCTCTTTTGCCTGTATTTAGCCCACACCCCTCTAAACGTTTCCTATTCATGTACCTGTCAAAATATCTTTTAGATGTTGGAACTGTACCTGCATCTACACTTCCTCTGGCAGCTCATTCCACACACGACCCTTGCATTTTAGAAATTAAACTCCATCTGCCACTCCTCAGCCCATTGGCCCAAATTATCAAAATCCCTTTGTAATCTCGGTGGGACCTCACCAACGTTTAGGGCGACACGGTGGCACAGTGGTTAGCACTGCTGCCTCACAGCGCCAGGGACCTGGGTTCAATTCCAGCCTAGGGCGACTGTCTGTGTGGAGTTTGCACATTCTCCCCGTGTCTGCGTGGGTTTCCTCCGGGTGCTCCGGTTTCCTCCCACAGTCCAAAGATGTGCAGGTTAGGCGGATTGGCCATGCTAAATTGCCTGTAGTGTTCAGGGAGGTAGAGGGTGTATATTAGGTGGGTCATAGGGGAATGGATCTGGGTGGGATGCTCTGGGGTTCGGTGTGGACATGTTGGGCCGAAGGGCCTGTTTCCACACTGTAGGGATTCTAATTAAAATTCTAATTCTAATAACCTTCTTCACTGTTGGCTATACAGAGATCAGTGCTGGGTCCACTTTTGTTTGTCATTTATATAAACAATTTAAATGAGAATATAGAAGGCATGGTTTTTAAGTTTGTGGATGGCACCAAAATTGATGATATAGTGGACAGTGAAGATGGTTACCTAAGATTTCAAAGAGGTCTTGATCAATTGGGTCAATGGGCTGAGGAATGGGAGAAGGAGTTTAATTGATATAACAAACAAGAGCAGGACTTATACAATTAATAGCAGGGCCCTGGGTAGTGTTGTAAAGCAGAAACACGTAGGGGCTCAGGTACGTAATTCTTGCGTCACAGGTAGATTGGGGGGGCGGGGGGGGGGGGGGGGAGGGTAAGAAGTGTTTAGCACACTTGCCTTCTTGCTCACACCTTTGCGTACAGGAGTTGGACGTTATGTTGAGGTTGTATAGGATGTTGGTGAGGTCTCTTCTGTGGAGTACCGTATGCATTTCTGGTCACTCTTCTATAGGAAAGGTATTATTAAATTGGAAGGGGTTCAGAAAAGATTTGTCAGGATGTTTCTGGGATTGGAGGATTTGAAGTTTAAAAATAGGCTGGGACATTTTTTTTTAAACTGGAGCATAGGAGGTTGAGGGGGTGACATTACGGAAGTTTATGAAATCATGAGGGGCATAGATAAGGTGAATAGCAAGGGTCTTTTCCCTAGAGTGGGGAAGTTCAAAACGAGGGAAATATTTTTAAGGTGATAAGAGAAAGTTTTAAAAATGACATGAGGGGCAACTTTTTTTTTTGTTATACAGACTGGTTCATGTGAGGAATGAACTGCCAGAGGAAGTGGTGGATGCAGGTACGGTTAAAACATTTAAAAGACATTTGGATAAGTACACAAATAGGAAAGAGGTTTGGGGGGAGGGAGAAAGACACGACATGGGTCAAATGCAGACAAGTTGGGACTAATTTAGTTCGGGAGCATGTATGGCATGGACTAGTTGGACCAAAGGGCATCTCCATGCTGAATGACTATTAGTCAGTCATCCTGCACCTCACTTGTGGCTGTAGATAAAACTCTGCTAGGGGCCTAACCTCCCACAAAGTCCTGGGATACACTATCAGGTCCTGAAGATTTATCCACCTTTATGCTTTTAAGGCCTCCTGCACCTCCTTTTCTGTAACGTGGACTCTTTTTAAGAGTTCCCCACTCTCTATGTCTTTCTCCACAGTAAAAACTGATGGTAAGTATTTATTTAGTATCCCCCCCGCCAACATCCCCTGTGGCTCCCCACACAAATGACCTCGTTGATCTCTAAGGGGGCCTATTCTCTCCCTAGTTGCTCTTTTGCACTTGTACAATCTTTGTATTATCCTTAAACTTAGCTGCCAAAGCTATTTCAATTCCCCTTTCTGCCCTCCTGATTTCCCTCTTAAGAATGCCCCACTCTCCTTATGCTCTTCAAGTGATTCACTTCATCCCAGTTGTCTATACGTAATAAATGTCTCCTCCTCATTCTCGACCAGAGCATCAACATCTTTATTCATCCATTGTTCCCTACTCTTACCAGCATTACCTTTCACTCTAGCAGGAATATAATGCCTCTGAACTCTCGTTACCTTTCGAAAGCCTCCCACCGATCAGTCGTCCCTTTACCTGCAAACAGTCTACTCCAACCAACTTTTGAAAGTTCCTGTCTCATACTGTCAAACCTTGCCTTACTCCAATTAAGAACTTTACATTTTATCCTTTTCCATAACTGTTTCAGAACTAATAGAATTATGATCACTGGTCTCAAAGTGCTCCCCCAGAAACTCTTCAGTCACTTGCCCTGCCTTTTCCTTCCCTTGACCCACCCCCAACAACAGGTGCTACTTCTTTCTTGAACACATTTACCAAATTCCTCATCATCCCATACATGCCACGATTTCATCCGTGTTACCTGTAAGACCCCGTGCACTGAAATAAGCGCAGTTTAATTCTTCAGTTACCTCACTTGTTCATGCCTACCCTACCTAATTAACTTGCTCTCTTTAACTTCAGATTTCTGAAGTCTGTCCTCACCTGCTTTTCTATTCCCACAACTACTAAAGAATCCCCCACCTCCCACCTCTTGCCCGTTCTATCTTGAGTCAGCTGATGGCTAATTTTTATCTCAATTCCAGTTTTTTGCCTTTGATAATCCAAGATACACTTGTTTACTGTAAATCAATCCTACTCTTGACATTTTAAGATTGCATGGTATCTCCTAGCTTTTGGAAAGTACTTAGCGAGAGAGATACAGAAGAGACATGAAATCCTCGGTCATAGATTAGAGGCAGTTAGGAAGGAAATAATCAATGTCCACCTTCTTTTGTTTTCCACCATCCTGAATGATACATGGTGTCGTTGACCAGTTGTAAT